GTGATAAGAGAAAGCAGTAAGTAGGATACAATCATAACAAAATGTGATATTGTTGCATACCACAATGTATATTGTATAATTGCAATAAATTGGTAAACAGACAGAGTGGAAATAAGCCATTGTCCCCAGAAGTAAATATCTGATGAGTAGCCAAATTCTTGCGCCAGTTAGTAACTCGATATGCTGGATCATAAAACAGAAGCAGGTTTGGGTAGTATAAAGCCCACATCCTTGGTCGTTACTGTCCAATATAAAAATGTGGTACTACATTAAAAGGATCGATCCCGGGGAGGTAAATGTATGCTGTAACAAGAAATTACCAATGTCTCACAAATGAAATAGGTTGTCTACCGCTTGCCAGTACGTCTACACTCTTATCTGTAATAAATCTCTGAATCACACTTCATGTGTACATATTTTTTAAAGTAGACAACCCAGGGTATTCAATATGTCCAGTCTTTTTTAGTAGCCATTTAGTCACAAACACTGGGCAAACATAGCATTTATATTTGTTTGTGTTAAAAATGCAAAAAACAATTATGAACACTAACTTTGGCCAGTGTTTGTGACTACTAAAGTGGCTACTAAAAAAGACTGAACATACCTTGAGTTTTCTTCTTTTGCAAATGGTATGCAATTATGGGGGTAATTCTCATTCCTAGGCTACCATACTTTCTCAAAGGCAACATTACCAATCCGGCAAATTTCAATGTGAAAAAAAAACGGAAAAATCAAGCCTTATATTTAAACCTGTAACTTTCAAAAACACTATAAAACCTGTACATGAGGGGTACTGTTATATTCGGGAGACTTCGCTGAACACATATAATTGTTTCAAAACAATAACATTTATCACAACAATTATATCATCAGTGAAAGTGCCATTTTGTGTGAAAAATGCAAAAAAACGTCACTTTCACTGACAATATCATTGCTGAGATATGTTTTACAGTTTTGAAACACTAATATATGTTCAGTGAAGTCTACTGAGTAAAACAGTACCCTCCATGTACAGATTTTAGGGTGTCTTGGAGAGTTACAGGGTTAAATATAGTGCTAGCAAATTAAATTCCATGGACTTTCGGCCTGGGTTGTCAGGCAGGTCCCTTAAATTGCAATCAATAAAATTACTTAATTATGTCAAATTATTACATAAATATGCACATAGAATAATATATATATACACACACACACACATACATACACATTTATATATTTGAAGTCTGTGTATATATATGAAATGATGTATATGGACATATATATTTCATATTATTTTTATTTATATATACATAGAATGAAATATATATATATTTCATTCTAAGTATATTTTGATATAAATATATGCATATATATTCATATCAAAATACAGTTAGAATAAAATTACATAATTTTTGTATTTTATATTTATTTTTAATTAGTTATTTTTATTATATATACTATATATAGTTATATATATATAGATACACACACACACACACACACGTGTGTAATTTTACTCTAAGTGCATTTTTATATTAATATATATATATTAATAAATAAAAAAATACTTAGTATGACATATATGATATATATATATATATATATATATATATATATATATATACACACACACACACACATATTTTTTTACTTTTTTCACCAGCAGGGGGACTGCCTGTCATTAACTTTATTTTTTTTAGAAACTTTTTTCACAAGCCTGCCTGATGGCTCCAGTGGAGCGATCAACCGGCGGCCCGGCAGTGAGGGGGCCGGGTATTGCAGGATGCTTCGACATCGAGGCATCACTGCAATACCCTTAGAATGGTTGGAAGCGATTACGAGCACTTCCAGCGCTTAAATGTGCCGTGGACATATCAGGTACGTCAGAGGTCGTTCACGATCAGTTTTTGTCGGACGTACCTGATATATCCACTGTCACTAAAGGGTTAAAGTTTGAGGTTGTTTATTATAGGGTAGTCGGTGTCTTAAATTTATTGATGGGCCCAATCTCAGGGCTGTTGACTTGGAAAAGTTAATTTTTAAACCTATTATTAAGCCATTTCTATAAAAATAAAATGGCAGTTGTATTCAAGAGGGATGTTACAGGGTCCAAGAGATAAAATAAGATCATCCACAAAACCTGTAAGTTTAACAGTGTAGGAGCCCAATCAAATTCCTTAATGTTCCTCAGAAGAGTAAATCTAATAAGTGGGTCTAAAGCTAGATTTAAATAATTAAAAAAAAAAAAAGATGTAGAGCAGCCCTGTTTTACCCCTCTCATAATTATCTTTTGTTAAAGTCTTTTGAGTTGAGGCCTTGTGTTTTATTTTTCTAGACTGTTAAATGTACAAGTCCTTCAAGAAAAGAAAGAACAGACTTTAAAAAAATTTTTTTTTTAAATCGATACTTTTGTCAAAGGATCTCTGAGCATCTAAACTTGATTTTTATTAGTGATTATCATAGATAAGGTCTCCGGCTATTGCTGTTCTAATTCCTTTGGGTGGATTGTCTGCCTCTAGTAAATACAAATTGTGGATATAGAATAGAGTAGTTGTAGTCTTTGCCAATATTGCAAACCATTTTAAGTTATTTAAGTGTGAATGGTTTGTAAGAGGGTTGTGTCTTTGTCTGGTTTTGGAATTAAAATTGTTCTAGTGCTGTCAGGGGGCTTGAATATATGGACTTGAACAGAGATGTTAAGAGTACTGCTTATTTGGCATTTTATAGTAATTAATTGTGAGCCCATCAGGTCCAGGCGCTTTTCCCACCTTTCTCATTTTTATTGCCGAGCTCTCTCTTCCGCTCTAATGAGAGGCATTAAGAATTTTTTTTTGATCGTTAAATCGGTCAGTGGTTCCCAAACTAGTCCTCACGTATCCTCTACCAGTCCAGGATTTAGGGATTACCCAGTTTTGTCTAAGGAAGGGGTGCCGAAAAGGTGGGGATCTACCTTTTGGACACCCCTAGTCTAAGGTGTTTTTAGAAATGTAAACATTAGAAACTGGGTAGTCCCAAAATCCTGGACTGGGGAGGGGGTGATCTAGGTGGATTTTCTCCCTTCAAAAGTTCCATTCCTCTCACATGGTCATCTGGCTCAGAGGCAAAAATGTTCGAGAGATGGGTAGAAAAGACTATAAGTACCGTCAGCTTTAAGAATACAGACTATACGATAGTATCCTGGTCTTGGATGAGCTAATTGCATAATAAGTTTTCCCATTTGCGTCCCCTTCCATCAAAAATAAATATTTCTGTTGATTTCTATGTCGTCCCCCCCCTCTTTTTTCTTTTTGCTTTCTTAATTTCGATGTGGCTATAAAAGTCAGATGGGCATTTGCTAAATCAACGTTGGGTTGATTATATTTTTCATTTTTTTGTAATTGGATACATACACTATTATTTGGCCTTGTATATTTTCCAAAACAGCATTGTGTTCGCTATATGGTCCAAGTTGTCATTTGTGAAATTACCTTGGCTCCCATGTTCCTAGATGAATCTTGTGTTAGATATTTGGAAACCAGCATGGTAGGGGTAAGCAGGAAGGGGAGGGAACAACCTTGCTGTGACTGCAATGGAACATTATTCAGGATCATTTTTTTTGTCAGGGTTGCCCAAAAGGTAGATCCCAAGTTAGAACTAAAACACCCATGATGCTTTGTATGCTTTTAGAATGACAATGCATTAAGGAATGTGTAGTTTTAGTTTTAAAACATCTGGGTACCTACAGTTTGTGCATCCCTGCTGTAGGTTAGTTAGCTTAGATCAGAGAGTCGCTCTTTTTAACCAAGAGCTGTATGCATTATTTAAATGTAGAATTTATTACAGATAAATATTATAAAATCCCTCAGATATAGCATGTTTAAAATATTCCATTTAATTATCATGGCTAGTGGGCCAAACACCAATTATCTTTAACTGTATTGGGGGAGAAACAAGTCTTTGTTCTGGAGAGTCCAGGTGGTAAGAGAGCCAACTTACCTGTGCTAACAGAATATCCCAGCCTACGAAAAGTTTGCTTCTCTGTATGGATGGTGTTTTACCTAAGGTTATTGTTATGTAAAATCACTGGCAACATTCATTACCCTTTATTACAATGACCAGTAAAGCAGTCTTTACATTTCAAATGATTTTTGTCTATTACAGGTTGTAATCTTCCAGAATATGTATTCAACCCAAAAAACAAACAATTTAAAGAGAAAGAAGGGAGGAGGGAGAAAGAGAAGAGGAGGGGGAGAAGAGTAAATTGGATCTACAGACTTTAATTCTAAAATGCCCTGATTATGAGGATACGTGTGGTTTTCTGCAATGTATTATTAATCCTTCTTTCCTGGACACTTCTGCATCTCTGGAAACATATTCAGACACAGACTTAAAACTGCAAAATAATTTTGAAAAGGTGCCAGAGCCATGTGATAAAATGTATCCATTCATGTTTTCTTTGAAGTGTTTATAGTGGCTGGTGGCCCCTGGTGCTCTCCTCCATTCAGTGTTAAACTATTTTTAATGTTTTACCACTATGAGTTGAAAGCGGCTCATCCCCTCCATGGCACACAGGCTAATGAGGAAGCATTAACAATGGGAGTTTGTGAAAAGGGCGAATGTCAGCTGACCGCTTTCAGCCTATCACAGTCACCCATTCAGGTATGAATAGGTATGGCCAATAGGATGAATGTAATCACTAACAGCTATGGGAAGCCAGGGATCCTCCCTCAGCGTTAATCTGCTCAAAATTGTGAAAGTGAATGAAGGAATGGTGTCAGGAACTCCAGATACTATAACCAATTGATTGAGATTAAATGGCGACTATGGTGTACCCCTTTAACAAATAACAGAGGATGAATTTATTTATTAGTTTCTACCTCTAGACTATTTTAAATACATTTCGTTTAAAAAGCAGCCTATCTTGCTAGTGGAGACTTCATAAAGAAACAGATTTGCAAGGCACTCGCCTATGGAATGTTTCTATATACTGGAGGATGACCTAACTTTAACAAGAACCTATGCATAAGACAAACCAGCATTGTGTTACCAAACTGCTGTTTCCTGCTGAAGTCCCAACAATTTGATTGGATGGAATCTCTAAATTTCCAGGTCAATTCGTAGGTTAGAAGCTGGGAAATAAATTAAACCTTTAACATTCAGGCTATAAAATAGTTGAATTGGATTCCAAAGACAAAGCAATTTTAAACTCACTATGAATTCCCAGCAATAACGCTGACAGTGTTATTTAAGAAGGTGGGAATTCAGAGTGAGCCTTAAGGTTAAGGCCAAACTGAGAGTAGAGATAACAGATTTTTAAATTTTGTTTCTTCAATATTTTTCACTTTGAATTCTCACTTCAGTGAATAACCAGCCCGGTGAGTTTGACAGCAGACCATTCTAGTATCAGCGGCATACAGAACAAAATACCAAAGAGACTTGGCCAATGCAATACAACTGCTGAAAGGAGTTTGCAAAGAGTTCAATATCTCAATCAATACAAGAGACGGAATTAAGGTTGATCCATCTGTACACTGCTACGGAGTTTGCTGGCGCTATATAAATAAAATCATCTGCATAAAAGCCCCTTTAAATGTGTGCGAATGACTGAAGTCAGCATTTGGTTTACTACATTACAGCCACTCCATGGATTAAAATCAGATTAACAATCACATTTTACATTTTGTACGAAACATTACCTTTAAACATCTCATTAAATCACTTAATTGCTTAAAAAAAACTAAACCAAAACCAACTATTAAATGTAAATGAAGCCCTTTTAGGTAAAGACGTTTTGAGTTTTAGAATAAATGCCAATTCTTCGGCTAACGGACATTCAATTTTTGGCAAATTATATACCCCTTTGCGGATCACTAAACTCATATGCTTAACAAGAGAGCTCCAATTACAAGAGTAATATTGCATAACATTATTCATAACCTTTGACAGAGACTCAAACTATGTGCGACTCATGCAGTTAGCAATTCAGACACATTGTTCAAGTCATAATGCATTGCAAGAAATGTACAAACAAAATTAATAGAATCTTGAAAACGAAACATCAGTGAGTTACATAGTTTAATGTTGATACATTTGTTTACCTCCCACTTTCACCCAATAAAAAAAAAAAAAAATATCTGGAAACTGAATCCTGAAAAACCCGACTCTTCACTGTTATCCCTAAAATCTGAAGCAACATTTGCTGCATACATGTTTGGAGAGACAGTATCAATTGCATATAGTGAGCCGTTGCCTGGATGCTCAATCCTGACAAGTAAATAAAAAGGGACCAGTGTAAAATGTTCTTTTCTCAGGTTCTCATTCAATATTGGAGTTTTTTTCCCCGCCACTAATTGCCAAACTTGTTGTGAAAACTTGAAAATTCTATTTCAGGCTATGTGTGCCCAAATTGTACAATTTTACTTTTTTAAATTATCCACAAATAAATCCTGCTGTATTAGTTATGTTAAAAGTGTCATGGAGATATATATATATATATATATATATATATATATATATATATATAAAAATAATAGTGATGGTTGGCTGCACTCACGGATTCTTTCAAACGTAACTTATTTATAATGTTAAGAGCAGATCAACGTTTCATTCCCTCTTGTGGACTTTCATCAGGATCATCCTGATGAAAGTCCACAAGAGGGACTGAAACGTTGATCTGCTCTTAACATTATAAATAAAAGTTACATTTGAAAGAATCCGTGAGTGCAGCCAACCATCACTACTATTTGGATATTGGAGCCTAGGTGATGGACCCGGTTATATGATTGAAGCCTGAGTGCAAGGTATATTTGGAGATATATATAGATTATCTATATATATATATATAGATTATCTATATATATATATATATATATATATATATATATATATATATATATATATATATATATATATATATATATATATATATAGATAGATATATACACACACACACACACACACACACACATTGTGGAGACAAGTAATTTAGTTTTCTGTGATTTCACTTCAACGGACATGACGTTCCATGTTTTACTGAAAACTTGAAAAACGTGCAATGTAGCAACCTGTTCTATGCTGATTGGATGAAGCTGCGTACTACAAGAGAGAGATAGCATAGAACAGTTATGGTCTCCTAATAGGAAGATTCCAGACGACAGTACAATATTTGCTGTAAATAAACTTACAACCATTAATGGCATAAAAGTGAATGAACTGGATCAGCACAGAATTCCAGACAATTTCAGCGCATCAGAATAGGATTTACATGGTTTTGTACAGTTTACAAGAAATTGGCTACATCAGTGTGAGGCATGTTTGTTGAAGCAGATATTCCAAGCCAGGTACATACTCTGTTTCAATGAACGATGAGTAATTGACAGATCAGTTAGAGAAACCGTTTCTGTACTAGTGTCCAGTAGCAGACAGTGCATTTATAAAATGAATTGCAGTGGATTATACAACCATGATTTCCTAAAATAGTTAATTGGCAGAGATTGCCACTGCTTGCAGTTTCCTATAGACATGTTTATTAGAAAACATAGGGATAGGACACAAATATTGGCCCGCATGCATGAGAAATACAAGGTGGCATAGCAACTGTGATCTGCGCAGATCCACAAGCCTAGACAACAAGGCCCCAAAAGATAAGGGAGCACTACTCTGGCCCCCAGAAAATTGGGGGGGGGCTAGTATTTTGGCACAGATTACCTAGTTCCATATCCCCCCACTCTGCAGCACTATTGATATGAGACTTCAGCGATAGTTGGAGAGAATCAGCAGTCGCTCCCAGAATACCTCTGACGATTCTCAAGTACAGATTACAAAATGTAGTCTGTTTACTTGCAATAGGCAGCCAGTGATACCCAGAGTGTGCCACCTCATGATCTCAGTCTATCACTGCCTCCCATCAGCACTCAGATGATTGTTTTTGCATGAGACAAACAACAGAGGAGAGGCATTGTGAGAGTGCCTGGGGTACTTTGGTGTTAAACCATTAAAAAAGGAAGGCAAGATGGATCCTCTGGACTCCATATTCACTTGATGGAGATAAAAACCATTACTGTGCCCAGAGTTTATTTCAGTATATTAAAAGACGTTTAAACATAAAATCAACATTAAAGGACCACTCCATACAGGTGAATTAGAGCATCCTACCTCAAGTTAATAAAAGTACCGATCTCAAAAAAAAAAAACAGCACCTTTATAATTAAGTTATGGAACACCCCCTGGCTGTCAGAAATCCAGGGAGGTTTGCTTTTCCCTTCCATTACCCCCCCCCCCCTTGAGTCAATGGAAATGGCAGACACTACATGAGCACATCTGCCTCCCCACCACAAACTTCTTTCTCAGATCTCAGAATGCTGTGCAGTGCGACAGACACTGCTCAATGAGAAGCCTTTGACTGGCCATGTCCCTGAGCAAAGAATGTTTGTTTAGTCCAGGAGGAAATGGGATGATTTGCAAAAGTTCATTAGAGCTGCATCTTCCGCAAACTCTTGTAAGATATATCACCAATGAATACACGTATGAAAAACGCATTCATGTATGTACTCATTAGGGGGTTCAACTAAACTGTGAATTATACTTTCTTGCTCTAGTGGCTGTCAGACAGTCACTAAACGAGCTTTTTCAAAAAATACAGCGAAACTCCATTATATCAGACGGTCACATAAACATTCTGGCAAAGTCTGATGCTCGCCTTCAAGATTTCTAGAGGTCTGCACCATTATTGTGGAACTCACTTCCCTCCTCCGTTAGATGCTGACCCAGTCTCCACTCCTTCAAAAAAAATCATTAAAAACCCACTTCTTCATAAAAGCAAATCAATTAAACTGTTAATAGCTCCCGACTAATTCCTCTCTTGTAGTTATTCCAATACTATCCTTACCTTTTGTGTCACTTTACCCCACTCCCTCTAGCATGTGAGCTCATTGAGCAGGGCCCTCAACCCCTCTATTCCTGTGTGTCCAACATCTCTGATTACAACTACGTTTGTTTGTTCGTCCACCCACTGTAACGCGCTGCAGAATTTGTTGGCGCTATATAAATAATAACATTATTATGTTGATCTCATCCAAGGAGGCAGCATGGCAGCATTGAGACTGTGTTGTGAGGGAGAAAAAGTAAAGACTTTCTTTACTCCCTACAAGTGGAACCGGGGTCCCAAAGACTGCTTAACACATGTATTCAGAATGTTATAGTGTTCCTTTAATTGAACTGCAGGATGCTCCTTCAGGCTCTGAACAGAGCAGCAGATATTCTAAATTAACAGACTGTGCAATAAAGGACATTTAACCATGTGATCTCTATTTACAGGAATTCTAAATGCACCCCTAGTCACACCTCCCTGCAAGTGACCTACACAAAGTGGTTTAATCCCTAAATGGCATAGAATTGAGCAATGAGACTGCAGTGGCGTGATCTGTATACCATTAAGCTAAAGTTGTGTTTCTTACAGTATACCTTCAAAAGTGTCTGTCTCTAAAAAGTACATCCGACTGTAATGGTTATGGTGCTATTAGGCTGTGGGCACTCTCTCCTGGATCTGGGTCAAACTGTTTTGAGGGATTTGACAAAAGCTGTAGATCAGAGGCACCCACCGCCTGTACCACAATCGCCATGCTGCTAAAGCAGAAGTTTAATTTTGCATTAGCCGTATCAATTATGTTCCCTCTGTAGACAGCACCGATAGGCTACACGTATTACAATTGCAGAAAATGTTAATGACAAAAAGTACTGGTATTTCATGTCAAACTGCCGGAAAATGGTTTGAACCAGACTGGGGTGATGGCACCCACAGCGTACTAGCACCATAATCACTACAATAGAATGAAGACATTATAAGGCTTAGATTCCCCTGCTTTAATATCAAGATATAATATAATGAAGTATATTGACTGAAACAGTTACTGGAATGGATTAGAGCTATCCTCATCAACTTGAACAATCTCAGAACAAAGACACAAATCCGTTTGTAAGAAATATATTTTATTTTTCTGACACCACAGCCCTGGCAAGTGGTTTTGTACCAAATTTTATGGAGATTACACAGAATGCTTTAAATGCTGGGTAAGAGGGACAAGAGGAAGAGTGAAAAAGTAACCGTCACAAAATGAAGGAAAAAAAAAAAACAAAAAAAAATATATATATATGTATATATATATATTTATATATCCCACAACTGTTCCATTCCCACATTATGAATTACTCGGGATTCCTAACAGATGAGAACCAAAGATTACTGCAGAGGATCTGACTGTCCGTGTATTTAACCGCATAAAGCCTGGCTTTGTGATGAAAGCATTAGAAAGCACTACCAAAATATGATGCCAGTCTCTAGTATATCCTCCCTCCCAAGACATACACATTGCGCAGCAAAGAAAAGGAGGGGAAAAAAACAAAACAAAAAAATAAAAACAGAACATTAGTACTACATAGAATGAGATTTGGAGGGAGCAAAAAAAAAAAAATAATTAAAAAAAAAAAAAAAATATGAATTTGCTCTCCACAGTCTGATTTTTTTATTTTTTAATTTTTAGATTTTTTTATTTTTAGAATTTTTTTTATTTAAAGAAAGGAGATTCCCCTAACTGGACATAGTTAATTTTTGTGCTTTTTTTTTTTTAATAATACTCTTTCTGTATGAGGTCATAGTTTGGTTTACTATACACTGGAGTTTAAAAGGAAAAAAAAAAATATTCTGAAGATGGATTTATCCACCTAAAGTAAACAGCACTGAATCAATCTCCTCTCACACACAAAGACTGGAGTCTCTGCTAAAATCCCTTTTACAATATAGTACAGTACACAAAAAAAGGGTTACCAAGTGTCCTGGAGAAGCCAATCCAAATGACGTAAACATACAGAATGGTGCAACTCATGAACAATGGCAATTTTCAAAATACAGCTACAGATTTTTTTTGATTTTTTTTCCCAAAGTAGGTGCCATCAGGGGGTACCCAAGTCCACAAAAATATTTTTATTCTTTTTTTAAAAAATAAATCTTAAAAAAAAAAAAGAAGAAAAAAAAGAGAAACAAAAACAAACAAAAGAAAAACTAAACACCTGTTGAATAAATGAAAGCAATGCTCAGATAGTTTCATACATTCTTGAGTTTCCTCCAAATTGACATTTGGGTCCTTTTCTTCACCTATTGCATGGCCAAACGGGACTCCTTATACTTTTAAAAAAATTCTCGGGAGACAATCTCACTTGTACAAGTTTTAAATTTGTCCATTCGTAGCAGCTTAAAACATCATGTTCCCCGGGTTACCTGGTCCTTGACCGAATCCACTCATCCCAATATCAGTAGGCATACCTCTGGGGCGCATCTGTGGGGGAATCATGAGGTTCTGTTGAGGTCCCATCATCCCCTGCATTGACATCAACATATTAGGAGATCCCACAGGTCCAGGGTGGCTATAAAGTCCTGCAGGCATTCTTTCCTTTCCTGGCATCATACCCACCCCACCTGGATTTCCCATCATAGTCAGTTGGCCAGGCATTCCTGATTGTGCTGGTGACATCATCCGATGGTGAGGTCCAATCATGCCTTGCTGCATAAAACCTGGTGGCCTCATTGAATTGTGACCTGGCATGTTTGGACCACCGCCTAAGGACATATCTGTAACCACTGGGCCTGGTCCTCCCATTCCAGGCATAGGAAGACCCATTCTTGGGTTTGGCTCTCCCATCATACCAGGCAAGTGAGAAAAACCAGGTCCTTGTTGTGGTTTTCTGCCTGGAACTTCCCCACGAGGGAAATATTGCAGTGTTTGACTTGGTTTCTCTGATGGAATAATCCTTGATAGGTCAAACTCAGGGATTCCAGACGCCCCTGGTCTAATGACCTCCTGTAGGTCAGGGTCTGTGAAAACTGAAGGCATATTATTTCCCATAACATTAAAGGAATCCGGCCCTGGCTGACATCCCGACTTACAAAGTGCTGGGTCTGTGTTTGGGTTCATGTTGCCAGGGCGACCCAAAGGGCCATCTACCGGAAAACCCATTCCGGACTGAAAGTTTCCTTGCCCTCCATTAGGGCCATTATGTGGAAAAGGAACTTGAGGAGGTGACTGCACTTGTGGAAAGCCGTGAGCAAAAGCCATGCGTCCCTGAGGTACCATGGGAGGATCTTGAGGGCCATGTGACATCATTGGATTATGCGACATCATTCCTGGTCCCATAGGACCTCCATGAGGTGGTACATTGGGTCCCATGGCATTTGGAGATGGCATCTGGCCACCATGGGATAGAGGCTGCGTCATACCCATCGGACTTAGTGATGGCATGGAAACTCCATGTGGACCTGGCATCTTGTTAGGATTCTGAGGGTTCATATTCATGCCTATAAGAGAAGAATTAATGAATATCATGCAGTGGCTCAACAATGAAATTTAGACAAACAATATAAACACTGGGATTACCATATCCATCAGAAATAAATATATATATTTTTAACAAATTTCATGCATATTAAATATATCACTATTTCACTGAATTCACCTAATGTTACTATTTTTTGGATAATATAATGTGTTTTTCTTGAGATACAGAAGGGAACAGGTTTTGGAATATCCACAAAAAGACCACTTGCACACAAAAACAGAAGAAAAATACTGGCAAAGTACAATGACAATACCTAGAGAATAGAAACTAACAGCTATTGCACCTTTAAGTACATGAGGTGAGAAACTCAACAGCAGAATGAATGTTTGGCAAGACGAATGACCTTCTTCAGAAAAAAAATAAAATAAAAATAGAATAAATGTTATAAGAGAAAAAACAAAACAAAAACCCCGAAGTAGTGTGAATGTTTGAAATGGAGAAAGCGAATACCCTACCTGGCATATTATTCATAGATGGTAGGTTAGGAGAACGGGCAGGAGGGGAATCATCGTCTGAACTAGCCACCGTTTTGATGGCATCATGATACAGAGGCGTGGAACTAGGCATGGCAAACTTTGACATCCTAGACATCATAATGGATAGAGGGTTTTGGGACAGAGTGGGCTCAGGCGGCATTGTGTAGCTAGTGCTGGAGGGAAGACTTCCGGGGTGATTTATCGAAGCAGACTGGCTGACTGATGGAGGTGGGCCTCCTATGAGAGAATACAAATAAAATTTGTTAAAAAAAATAAAATAAATTTTTTTTTTTACAAAGTAAAAAATAAAAAATAGAGAGAGATGTCTATTACCAGAATTTGATGCATTCACTGTGGACTAATTTCTGATGAAACAGTCTTCCAAAGAGATAAAGGCAACTTATGGAAATTAAATAAGGTTATATGAATGTAAATACATTGCATATTTGAAGTGAGAATTAATGAGTGAGCAAATCTGATGGAATCTACTAGGACAGTTTCAAAGACTACATCATGATTCAGCACAGGTCATTGGAAAAATAGATCTAGAAAACTCAAGCAGGGTAAAAACTACTTTGGATGTATAAACTGGATCCTAAAAACTGTTGCAAACCATTATTACCATCCTGGAATCAGAATCCATCTGGTCTATATAGATTTACAGATTAAAAGAAGATGTCATCATTCCCTTGAATAGTCAGTAAGGGGACACCAAGATACACCGAATCATTTCATAATAAGCACCCAATTCCGTTAAAAGTAGCCACCAAGACATGATGTCTTGTAGAAAATCAAGGTAATACAGACATTAAAATCCCAAACAGGAAGACCCGTTCTTTGGCCGTTCAAAATGTTGGGAGCTACATAAATGACCAGTCACAGGTGGTTACAAGTTGGAGAAGTTCATGTATCACGTACTTAAGTTGTAAAGGCTATGTGCACCAGTGACTAATAAGAATTAATTATATTCATTTATATTGTGATATTAGACATTTGTCTAATCATGTATAGAAAATAATTGGCATTCTATTGATGTAGAGGCTACACAGAAACACCAGGTAACTGACATGGAAATCATGCTTGACAAGGCCTACACAAATAATTAGGCAGATAGGTTGCCCAATATCGATCTAGCAACCTCCCCAACGCATTCCACCATCTTGTGGCAGTATTGAAGGACTATTTCCACATGACATTTCACACGTCATCAGGTTGACTGGAAAATTGTATTACATGGGCATTTCAGGCCTGACTGGACACTATTTCCTCCAAATCCCCAACCTTTACATGGATTATGGAGATATCCAATCTATTAATATCAAATTATTGGGAAGGAGCAGAAATGTAGCCGATAAATGCAATGAAGAGTGTCAAGCCAAAAGAGATGGAAGGAGAAAGAAGCCAAAATACACCTGAGCCATAAACTTCAATATTCAGATAATACACGGATGTCAAAATGAACAAACAGCTTAGAGAGAAAAAAAATACAAATTCTCAAACTCAACCATCTAATAGCATGGCTCTTTTGGCCTAGAATGTGCTATAAACGCTCTAACCATTACTTTTACTGGCACAACATGTTTAAATGAGGATTATTACATAAATCAGACCTTCAATACATTACTTTAAAGCAACAACAGGTTTTTTTTCCTGCTACATGAAAGGCATGTTAGAAAATCTGGAGTTGGGCTACCGTATCAGATATTAATACGCTATATTGCCAAGTTGTAATCACTAAAATATCTAACAGTCATGATAACATTAATGTCTTTTTCCTAATGAACGCAGGTCAGTGTCCCTCAGTGCATATCAAGCTGCTGCCATGTTTCAAACAGGCAGGAAAAGTGCTACTTGAACAATACTTTAGTGACAGCAGCTCACCAATTATCCAAAAACCACAATATCGTTTACATTAAAGAGATATGGACATTATAGTTTTAAAATGCAGCACATATGTAATCTGTAACTAATCTAAGGCTGATTCTTTATGATCGCCTTCACAGTGACTATGATTAAAGGACTCTTTGGGGCTTGCCTTTTTTTTTTACTGGTAAAACAGTTTTCAAGAAATGTCCCCAAAAGAAATAAAAAGATTGGATTTCTCAGCATACTATCCCCCTCTCCCCCCATTTTGAGTTTAGTCATTACTCATAATAAGTAAACCATATGAACGCATTTTTCATTTTCTTTTGATCACTGAATAAATAAAAGTATTTAGCAAAACCCAAAATTAGAATGGAAATGGTAAATGCTGAAGAACTTAAAGGTACAAATAGCTCAACAGGTTTATATGAGGGAATAGCCAGTTTTCAGACAAGTAGAACGCGAATGACAGAAGTTCTAGTCTATTGCTCTTGTGAGATCATTGTGGCCACTCAAAAGGCCATAATCACAAAGTGGGCCAGCAGCCTAATAACCCCCTAGACACGTCACCATTTGCAGTTCAGCCGTATCACGAATTTAAATTTTTTTTTTTTTTTTTTTTAAACAAATTCCATGTTTATGTTCAACACACAAACCTTCACCTACATAGAACATCGGAAGAAAGTTCGCACCCGTACACTGCAGTATTGACTGCAGAATTTGGTTGGGTGGCTTCCTAAACTTCAGATAAATAATAGTTCAGTGACCCGAAGAAGCAGGGAAGCACCGACTACTATAAAACGCAGTTTATTCAATTCATTGAAGAAATCAAAAACATTGCACCATAACATTACTTAGGAGTGAACTGAATAATGCTCTATTTTGTATAGTGCAGAAACTCTGCTCCTTCATCTAATGGACGCATCATGGTTAAAACCTTCACAAGAAGCCCTAATATGCACCTTGGACGCAGAAAGCTTTAGTATGTGGCTGTCACACGAAAAATGAAAACTCTATACAACCATAGGTCACCCCTATTCTCACTTCATTACACCAAGCCCTGCCCTGCCACCCTAAATGCACATTAAAGTGAACGGTAAGTGTTATTCCAAACACGCGCCACACAGGTTTATATCCAGGCTTTGTCCTTACAATTGCTGGAATAAAAATAAATAAATCAAAAAAATAAATAAATCAGAACCCATTTCTTTAGGTGCCGCAAGAGGTATTAATCTTTGTCTACCCCCTCACCCATTTCCGCACATGCCCCACCACATCTTTTACCACGAACCCTTCTTAGCTTCACCAACAGGAAATGTGACCTGTGAGACACCAACATCACCAGTATGTTCTATGTATAATCCACACACCCCTAGAATTAAAAACGCCAAGAATTCAGCATAAGTTTCTATATAATATGAGGGTTCATTGTGTGCTTCTAAGAAAAGGTTTTTCTTTTTCTAAGCTGATGCTCTGTTCAGGAAATATGAGCAGCAGAGATATTAAGTGTCCAGGAGGTTAAAATGGATGTTTCCTAAGAGTCTTCACTGAAGTTGCCATGGCAACATCCGACCATCGAGGTTCAGAAATCAATTCTATTACAAAACACAAAAATGCACAGGGGACAATAATGCTCACATTTCTGGGGCGTGAATAATTTCTTTCACAAAGTAACCGATTTAAAACCACTATAATCTCTATTTGCCTATTTTTAGAAAAGAAAACAAACCACAAACTACTCCAATTTCATCAACAATCATTGCAGAGACTCCTGCTATTCTCCTAAAACAAGTGCCCATCCTCAAATTATGAAACTTTTTCTTCCTGAGCTACCAGGGGCCATTGTGATAGTCCAACACAGAAGTTATTGGTAGAATGGGGTCATACAACAGAGCAATACTTTGTTACAATCATAGCAATTGTACTGAACTCTGACAAAATATAGATATGCCTAATAGGATGCCCATATAGTGAAAAGCTGCACAGACTTTAGGCACCATGAGCACTGCAAATCACGGAAGTGGTCGTGGCGCCTGGAGTAACCCTTTAAGAGTTTGTGTTGTCCAAGGATGCCAGAGTCTGTTTTATGCCTGAAACCCCTCCATGTTAATATATTGTACATCAACCCCTTTCTACAACACAATCATATAAATGCCAGGCGACTAATTAAATTAACAATGCCACATTAGAATTTTGCGTATTAAATTAAAAAGAAAAGTTACTATTAAGGTAGGTCCAGGAGTTACCAACCTGATTCCATATTCCCCATCATAGCTGGTGAGGTGATGCCAAGGGGCTGCTTGTGCTGGTTTGGGGGTATTCCTGGACTTTGCATTGGAGGCTTAGGAGAAGACGTCCAACCTGGGGAAGGTACAGGTAAGGACGGAGACTTCAGGTGGACAGGGGAAGCAGCAGCAGACCCCATGACGGGTGGGGACTTAATGGAAGCAGCAGCTGCAGCTGTTGGTCCTGTCAGCATCCCGGCTAACTGAGACGGAGTCTGAGGGGATTTAAGATTACCAGACGGGGAGCCCATCATTGGAGACTGAACCTGGCGCATTGTTGGAGATTTTAAAGGATTCACACCTGGAGAGTTCACTTGACTGCCTGAAACAGAAACATTATCCAAAGGCTTACGCCCCATGCTGCGCTGAACAGGGGGAGCAACATTGAGGTTGCCTGGGTTATTGTTTGGGTTGAGAGGTAGAGGTGGCATGTGGCTGAGTCGGCTATTAGTCCTTTGATCAGGCCCCATCTGTTCTCTGGGATTCCTCAACACCCCACCAGGACCCTGGGGCATGTTGAGAAAAGACCTGGCGCTCATGCCGAATTCCTGCTGGGAGTGTTCAAATGGTGCAGAATGCATTTTTTGCTGGTTGGTGAGCATTTCTGAGCTGCCTGGTCTCATTTTAATCATCTCCTCCGGACCCATAACCACATCTCTCATTTTCTGAGACATTAACTGCTGGTTAGAATTCATGTTGACATTCAGGTTCATATCAACCTTCATGTTCATGTTGCCTGGGCCCATGGCAAATTCTACCTCTCTATTTGGGCCCATATTAGGAGGCATGCCCTTGTGGAATTCCATCCTCGAGGGACTCAGTGCTGCATCTCCAGGCATACGAGGGAACATGCCACTTCCAGGCTCCATATTCCTCTGAGGTGCCATTCCTCGGTTCATTTCCATAACAGGTCTGATTCCCTCTATGTTCATACCAGGAGGAACACCAAGTTGTTTTTCGGAAACATGTGGATGAAAAAGCTCATCTGACATGCCCTGGGGGTTTGGAAATCTCTCACCTCGCCCTGGGCCACTGAATATACTTTGACCAGGGGGAAAGTTGCGGCCATCTGACATTTTTGGCACATCTTCAGGCCAATTAACACTCGGAAGTCCAGCCCTAGAAGCAGGGTTTGGAACATTAGGTCCATCCATGTCAGGGTTCATCATTCCAACAAATCCAGGTAAACGATGCATTTGGCTTCCAGGCACATTTGGATGAGGGGGCATACCTTTGGGTGGCATAGGGTGTGGCATTCCCATTCCATCTGAAAAGGGCTCTGGACCTCCCGGTCCCCAATTGTCACCAGGATTCATCTGGTAAGGGGGCGGAGGACCACGGACCATGCCTCTAGGTCCATGCTGGTGTACCATCATATCCTGCAAAGAACGTTGCTGCACTACAGCCTGCTCTTGTTTGCGTCTTTTCTCCTCGTAGAACTCCTGCTGCAACTTGAGCCATGCCACCTGCTCTGGAGTCATGTGGTCAAGGTGATCTTGGCCAGGCTGAGGATTCATTGGTGGAGCCATATCCTCTGGTGAAAAAGGCATGTCTCTATGTCCCTGTGGCCCAAATGGCATTCCACCATCTGGATGAGGCCCTGGACCTTTACCTAGATTTTGTGACTGAGCCACCATAGCCTGTATAGGTCCTTCAAGTTTTTTCTGGGGATTGTCCAGCATTCCAGAGTTCGGTTGAGGTCCCCCACTTTGGCCTGTAATGTCTTTCATGGCGAACTCTTTCTCATCAGGAAAAAGCATACGCTGAATATCTCTAAGTGTTTGCAAAGACCGTTCTCTGTGCTCTAATTGTTCTTGAGAAAGCCCATCAGGATTCTCACCTATAGGTGGTTGATCCCCACCTGGCACCTGTGGAGGTGCAGGTTTTGACTCGGTCTTGGAATCTACTGGAGGTGGGACATTCACTTGTGATAAAGGACTGGCAACTTGAGGGTTAGGGGTAGAACTCTGCCCACACCCTTCAGTTTGTAGAATGTTAGAATTGGCAGGGCTGCTAGCTGTGATTTTATTTTCCACAACCCCACTGTCTTGTCCAAGTGAACAATGGGGAGCTGTAGTCTTAGAGGGCAGGGCTGTAGCAGTCTGATTGGATTGCACTTTGGCAGCTTGCGAATGGTTCTGCTCTTGTGGAGTAGGTGCTCTGGGATGTGTTTTCGGTTCATTTCTAATATTTGTAGCTATTTGAGTGTTCTGCAATGAAAGGAAAAAAAAAAAAGAAAAGTAAAATATACTATAAAACTATCATGATATACCATAAGTATGAGTGTTTTTACACTTAGCGGTTAACATCTGGCATTGCCAGGGGCTTCAGCCAAAACATTTTGTAACATACACGTCATTGAACAAAGTTCCTGATCACACTCTATTGTTTATAGCAATACTCTGATAGAATAGAAGTTTTTTTTCCCCCTCTGATAGGAACGGATTTTAACACATTTATGAAGACAACTATTTAAGAAACTAAAAAGCAATGTAAATGCATTTCTATATTCATTACTAAATTACTGTTACACATTTTAAGCCATGCATAAAGTAAGCCTGTTCCCAGAAACAAAACAAAACCTTTTATACATTTTACCAAACATTTCAGTAGTGGAGCACATTATACAATATGCATTTTGGGCACTTGATGAGTTTAAAAGTTAAGATTAAAAATGTTGCAATAAAGGCCATCCATTTAAATCTTACAGGGACATTTTTAGTACCAGACACTACAGATAACGGTAGAAGTCATTGTGCTATGACAGGCTGGGTGATGACTCCCCATTTTCAATCAATCTGTCATCGAGCAGTCTTTTACATAACCAGGACTTTGCCTGCAATCCAACATGTCTGCAGCTACAGGGCTAATCCAATAAATGTACTTCAGCAGAGGGTTGAGCACCAATTGCCCAGGAAAGACCTGGTCTTTGAAATAACATAGACGCCCAAAGACTTCAAACACTGTAACCCCCACAATGAGCTGTAGCAGTTATGTTTAAGAGTGTCCCTGTAATTGCAAGGAACAGGGTAGAAAAAGAAAAGTAAATAATTCTGTTTCATTGTAACACAATACACCTTCATTGAGGTGGTGGTGCGTGTATCAATAGATGTGCGTAGCAGACCTACTAGGGCAATACATTGTTTACAGACACCTGTTAAAGGACCACTATAGTGCCAGGAAAACATACTCGTTTTCGTTCCTGGCACTATAGTTCCCTGAGGGTGCCCCCACCCTCAGGGACCCCCTCCCGCTGGGCTCTGGGGAGAGGAATGGGTTAAACTTACCTCTTTCTCCAGCGCCGGACGGGGAGCTCTCCTCCTCCTCGTCTGAATGCGCATGTGTTCAATGAGACAGCCACTAGAGGCAGGATTAACCTATTTATAAACATAGCAGTTTCTCTGAAACTGCTATGTTTATAAAAAAAAAGGTTAACCCTAGCTGGACCAGGCACCCAGACCACTTCATTAAGCTGAAGTGGTCTGGGTGCCTATAGTGGTCCTTTAAGCTAACACATTACTTTGGGGAATAGAAATGATAAGCTGCCCTGGCAAACAAGGATAATACAGTAAGATAAGCATTCTCTGCCATTAAGGAGTTAAATCACTGTTTGTACAGCCCTAGTCACAACTCCCCTGCATTTAATGTGCACAGCCTTCCTAAACACTTTCTGAAAAGGAATCTAAATGTCCTAGGTTCCTTTATTAAATTCTGTTTAATATAGAATGTGTGGGATTAAAGTTACATTTACAGAGCAACAGATAAAAACTTCTAAAGGAAGTTAAAATCTGATTGAAAATTAAACAATCTTTTCATGCAGGCTGAGTCACAGCCAGGAGAGGTGTGTCTAGGGCAGCATAAATTAAAACAAAATTGATTTAACTCCTAAATGGCAGACAACTGAGCAGTGAGACTGGAGGGGCATAATCTATTAAGCCAACGTTGTTTTGCCTATAGTATTCCTTTAACATAAAGCGGGAAAATGGCATACAACTATTCATTCATCCCCAAGCTACCTTTTTTTTTTTTTTAAAGGTTGTGGGTTGCTATCCATGTGCATATCACATATACAATTAATTTACAATAGAAATTTATTACCAAAAACCCACATGTATATTTAAAAAAAAAAAAAATAATAAAATAAAATAAACTTTATTGTGAAGAATTCCTGTTGTGCTAAAAACAAAAAATACTCTTAAGGGTAATAAATGTAAGTAATCTGTTCCATTCCTCATATCGAGGGCAGTATTCAATGTTTGCTGCTACGAACAATCCCTGAAATGTCATTAAGAACATTAACTTTAGCACAGACACTGATCAATCCAGTGAATACATTGACCTTTGGCCCACCCATGTCAAAGAAGGAAGATATTAAAAAAATAAATAAAAAAAAAAATAAAAAAAAAACAACACCATCCTAACATCCCCATACTTAAGGTTCTAACCAGAAAAACCAGTCCAACAATTTTGGATTTCCAAGTGAAAAATTTGAAATCCAACACTGTTTCTACTTAAAAGGTCAGTGACACTAGAGTGATCTCATAAAATACCCATACGTAAATATCCTGAATGATTTTATGTTTTTTCCAGGTAAAATGTTTTATGGCAGACAGAGGGGCACCATTTGTTTATCTGTGCAATTTTTGGTGACCGACCAGAAGTCAAACCAAAGATGTATTCTGTTTAATATTTAGGTGGAAGGCTTTTATTTGAAAAAGTAGAACTGTTGATATAATATAAAAAGGTTCTCACAAATTCTACATTTTACAGTCAAGGCAGTTGCTCTGGTAAGAATTAATACTCAGCCACAGTAAATAGAGACTAAAACCCTGCTGAAGTGTGAAAAGGATTTTAACAAATTAAGTGGCAGCCTTTTTACTCCCAAGGTGTTTTAGTTCAGCCGTGTGAGTTCAAGGATTGCCATGCCGGACATTTGATTAAAATCACTTAAAGCAGAGTTGACGAGTCTTTGTTTATCCACAAATTTCACAAGCTTCCACTTTTTTCCTTGTGTAAAAGCTCCCATCATGTGGTTTTCTAAAGTATGATGCAAGGCAGGCTTTTACATGCACATATGACGTTTTCCCACTGATTATTTTATATATTTCGGCAATCAAGTCTACCCAAAGAGCTGTCAAGTTGCACTACACATGCCAAGACTCGCTGCCTACAATAACAGAGAAATGATTAAGTAGATTTATCTCTGTAAAACCATAGACAAGGACCCAAAGAATTGTAGGCTAAAAGTACAAGGGTAGAAAAACAAGCAGTGCTTCAGATAAGGAGTTCTTGTCCTGCAATGTTAAAAGTCTCAGCTGTCAATGAAGAGCATTTAAATGGCTCCCAATTGGCTGAACCTGCAATAACATCTTAAAAACACAAAGAACAGTAGGCACATCCGCCCCTTTATATACAGAGCACAGATACAACAGAAAAGCTTAGTTATCCCACCGTAGGAGTTGAAGTGCGTTCAGCTTTGCTGTTTGAGGTGCTCTGGATGTGGAAGAGAACAATGGATTCGGCCTGACCCTTGATGACCGCTTCTGCAGCTCTGTGGGGTAAAATAGTATCAGGTCAGCCAAGCACCCTCAGCAAGCAGGAAACTACATGGCTATAATGCAAATTCAATACACGACACAATGCTACATAACAGAAAAAACAGTATTTACAGCAAAAAGCCTGAAAGAAATTACACTTACCAGAACAAATGCAATAAGCCGTAGTTGTTCTGGTGACTATAGTGTCCCTTTAACTTTCATGTTCTTGCAGGAATAACGATTAAACCAGGAATGTCAAATTCCAGTCCACAATGCTGAGTTATTCACTAAAGTGTGAACTGCTGCTAATTTCAACTGAACTTCAAATATTAGACCAAATCAGCGAAACTGAAACAATTCTCCAAATCCGCTATGTTTTTTATTTCAGACTATAATTTTAAGCTGGGTTTTAAGACTGGTTCCCTTGCACCAGACCTTTAGGGGGAGACTCAGGGCAGCATTAAATTCCCAGAGCAGCAATCCTGTCCTGTGTGATATTAGGTAATATTACTCTGTAATTGAATAATATTGCAAGCTTCTAAAACGCTAGTGTGACTGAGAACCAAGTACGATTGCACTAGATATTTTGCAGAAATTTCTGTCTAAGCATTGTACAATAACTCACACACATATGTGGATGCTCAAGCTCCAATAATTAAATCCTGTCTATGCTCATATTTTGTAAACTATTTCCCCACAGCTCGCAATACTGAGTGTCCGCAATTTACACACGGGAAGAAAATCTACACGAAGAATACAGATCTCTCAAAAGAACGCTGTACTGCAACAGATTTTGCTCTTAATGCAAAAACTAAAGAAATATTCTGGAGTAAAATTATAAATTAAAACCTAGCTGTGCCATTCCTTTCCCTAAACTGTTCTAGTGTTTTTGAACCCAAGCTTAAAATAAAGTAGGGACTACCTTCTCTCTAAAACAGGTTTATCTCAAAGGGTGTGGATGACTCAAACAAGCCTTATAAAAGTCACTGCCATTGTTGCCATCCAATCATTGACAACACCACCATCTTCTTATACAGCTGAAATAAAATTTAAGAGCCGTTTTTAAATGCATGACGGTAGCGGTATGACGCAATTGACTACTTAGATCAGGGTTAGGCAACTTTCTGCACTCCAGATATTGTGGACTACATTTCCCATTAACCTCTTACAGCCATAATGCTGGCAACATATTAGGAGAGATCTAGTCCACAAATATATAGAATGCTGAAGGTTGGCTAGCCCTAACCTCGCTAAAGCACAGAATTTAGAGATAGCTCACAACAGCAGCACTCTGCTCTTTAAAACCTCAACCAAAAAGAAGACTAATCATTTTCTTGTAATGCGCTTTCTCAAAGGCTTCTTTCCATATACTAGCATTAATTTTTTCAAGGAAAAGGGATCTCTGAAGGTCCTTCATACTTCAGGGTGAAAGATCTGTTCTGCCCTCTCTGTGGAGAAGTGTTACACCCAGAAAAACCAACGGCCAAAATATTTCTCCTTGAGTCTAATGTCCATTGGTGACTAGATAGAATATTACAGGATATTGCTAAATTCCTAAGGACACAAAAAAATTGAAATCACTTACTTATTGGCCATTTCAGTAGAAAAGACGTAGACCACTTTTGATGGCGTTTTTCTTTCGGGTGCGGAGTCGAGCAATGTTGGCCCGTGTGAAGGAGTGGAAGCTCTGGGGACGGAGGTATTGGATGGGGTCATGGTGTGTGCGGCATGGGACTCTAAGGGCATCACCGGATCTGTAGTGTTGCACTCTAAAAATAAAACCAAAAGAAAAAACACACACAATGAAATACAGGTTTTAAATGAAGATGAGCATAGAAGTTAAGAGAAAATGTAGTTTACATAAACGTCAAATGAAAAACTGGAAAGGGAATTGTTTAACCCTTTCGGGACAGAGGTAATTGTACAAGTTCTGATCAAAACAAAACCTAGAATTTGACTGTCTGTTCAACCATAATTTATATTAAGTGCACCCACACTTTGTGTATATTTTGTTCAGATAGGGATTTCATTTCACATCAAATATTTAGATTTGAAACCGTTTAATATGAATAAAATTTTCAAATGTTTGGAAAAATTAAGAAATTGTTATTTTTCAAATTCTGCATGGCATTTTAACTGTGAATGTCATCATTAGGTTACCTTTTACTGCAATAAAACACACAGATTTGTAGTCAGCAATGTCTCACAAGTACAACAGTACCCCCCACATACAGGTTTTATGGAGTTTTGGTTACAGGGTCTAAGCACTTCTGCCTTTTCAGTGTGTAAAATATTGCAATTTGCCAGATTGGTTTGCTGGGCCTATGTTGCCCTTGAGACCTTACGGCAGACCAGGAATGAAAATTACCCCCATCTTAGCATACCATTTGCAAAAGTAGAGAACCCAGCGTATTCAGAAATTTAGCATTTCCAGTCTATTTAACTAGACACTTAGTAAGAATCCCTGGCAAAAGTCTGTGTTCAGATTTGTTTTTTGAAATTTTAAAAAATAAAAATAAAAACAAACGAAACGCACGGTTTGCGGATATAGTCTTCATATGTTTTTACTGCTCTAAAACACTTGTTTTCAGCGTTCTCACAACAGTAACCTACATGTACAGGTTTCATGTGATTTTGGAAAGTTACAGTGTCAAGTATAGGGTTTGCAAATGAAATTCTGTCTGGGTTGTCTGCCAGAATCCTAATATATAATAAAATTATATAAAGTATATAGAACATGCATTTTAGAGAGAAAAAATTATATCCAAGTTTAATTAAACATAATAAAAAATAAATCTGGCTCTTAACTTTTTTAGCTGGCTCCTAAATTCCAAGCAAACTTGTCAAGCCCTGGCATAAAGATATAGTCACTCACCGTAATGAGAAATGAACATTATCCTACGTGTGCGCACACTACAGGAAGCTCACAGTGTGAGCTTAGACTAATAGCAAGGGTATAATGTGTATTATATGGAAGCAGTCTGTTTTATACATGGGGAAGAGCCAAATTTAAAAATCGGACTCCGATTCCTTTAAGATACCTAGGAAAGAGAAAGGTCAGTTTTCCATGTTACCATAACCGTAGCAGCTTCTAAACACAGATTGTTTATGCGTGGACACTGTGGCTTGTCTACTGTTTTAATAGCATACACAGATGTAGAAGGTCACCGCAGTAAAAGGGAAATGGCTCCAGTTACAGAGGTGAAACAGTGGTGACATGACAAGAACATAGTTTATTTTTAAATCAATAATAGGGAAGCATGATCAGTTAGCCACAGCTGCTTGTTATGGTACATGGAGACCAGGTAGGTGGGTGAGCGTGTTCTGTGTAAGTGAATGGGTACTGTAAGTGATGTGTTTAATAGGTTTCTGAAATGCAGATTAGGAATGGATGGTATACGGAATGCACGAGTACGTAATGTTATAGTACGCAGCATTGGTAATGACTTATGCTCCATGTGATATAGGTGTTGCATCTGACTCAAGTATGCCCTTATAGTACTCAAATCACAAGCCTGAAAGATTTAGAATGGCTCTAGAACGGATATCAGGTACACTCCAGTATTCTATATTCAAAGGAGCATTGTTAGGACTATAACCACTGCAGCAAAACATAATGCTTATGGGTCCAGGCGTATCCAAGCACCGTTCCTGAGCAAGAGTCAAAACATCGAATGTTTGACTTTTTCCAGGCCCTCAGTTGGTCACTTTCTGGCTCCTGTTCACAGATATTCGCTTAAGTAAATGTTCTTACTTCCGCATCAATATCATCTGTTCTGACCAGTTGTTTTGACTTCATTTTCTGATCACGTCAGCTGACACTCAAAACCAATTAATCCCATCCAGTTAGAGACAAAAATAAATAAATCATTTTCAGAAAGCCTTACTTTACGACTGGGGGGGGTGGGAGGGAGGGGGAGGGGAAGAGATTAGGGATATCCAGCACCATAACCACGACAAGTTCCCCTTTAAAAAAATGTGTTATGTCTGAAATAAAAGATTAAATGTAGTGTCAAATCTGCCACGTGTGTATTAAAGAAATGAACAGTAGTAAATCGAATAATAATATGCAGTGTTTACGTTATTTGGCAGCATACACAGTAAGGGGAAATGTAAATGGGAATATCACAATGATTCAGACAGCATTGTGTTCTGCATGATTGAATCACAGAGCTCCACAGCAATAAAACACAGTAACGTGCAGTGTATAACAGGATCACAGAGCTCCAAAGCAATATAGCTCAGTTATTTTTTTCTTGCCCAGGAGTCTTGTGAAACATTTTTTATCACAATAAAAGTACCCCACGCCCATCTTTCCATGTGACAAGGAGGCTCATCCCTGATTTAGAATTAAGTCACGCCTTATTCCATTGCTGTGGGCTCTGGTGCTGGCATACGATGTGCCTCAACTGTAAATATGAGCCCAGTGGGCCAAATCTGGCCGTAGACCTATGTTTGGCACAACTGCTGTAAATCACTATTACAAGCTCTGACCTTTGCACTCAAAAACCATCACAGTCTCACCAGTTTACAGAGTTTGGGATACAATAAAATGCAAACATACGGTGGTAAATGGGGTGTCATAGATTTATTAATATTTAACACATATACTACTGAGGTTTAGTTTACTTGACTAACCTGAATGTATTGATTGTTAAATTTGATGATGGAATGAAATATTGACACAACATAAAGGATATACAAACATAGAATTTATTGATCAACGGCACGTGGTGAATAAGCACATATTTGAAGTCTGACTGTGCATGTGCAGCCTATTTGGGAATGTATTCCACGATTAGGCTCTGTAGGTTCTTAGCCTTAACTTCAAACACTGAGAAACCCGGTTACGCTTTATAAATGATCAGTTTAAGCATAAAATACATTCCTGGAACACCTTAAGACGCTACACTAATTCACAATATACAGAAATAAGCCCAAATAGAGAGAAAAAAAAAAAGTTATTATGGGGAGTACAATAGAACAAAATATAATTTTATTACTAAAGACTATCAATATCAGCAGCAATACTCGAACTCTAAACTCAAACACAAAAGACAAGTTCAGCTTCAGAGAGAAAGACAATTTAATGGATACACTGTATCAACCGGAAAAGGCACTAAATGTTACCTGCTGTCTGCCACTTACTAAGATATGTGCCCAGCAAGCTCCCTATGCATTGTGGGACGCTAGCACATCCATTGGACAGATCTGCAGTTTTTACCTCCGTGCTGGCGACAGTAAATGGTAAGCACAATCAAAACTAAAATACCATGTGTTTGCTAGACAGTACAGTTAACACTTCATTATCTAGACAGGGACCCCAAAGCAAGTTTCCATGACAGGCACAATCTAAATGAGAGGTTTTCACAAATACATCTGAAAGAGCAAAACCGGTTTGCCAGACACAACTGACGCAGATAACCAATATAACCACATAATTGAACATGTTCCAAAGGAAACTGTAAAAGGAAATGATTTAAAAAAAGATAGTAATCCGATGACAAGATATCAGTATGACCACTATTTGCAAATAGCACGGTTTGTTCCAGTCCACAACAGTTTGACAATATTTTAACTACGGGATTGGAGAGAAAAAAAAAACACACTGCAAACATTAACATGCAATTAATTATGGAGGGGGTCATGAAAAAAAGACTCCGACTCAGAATGAAAGAAAAATAATTAGTTTTACTGAAAGAAAAGCGTAAATCCATAAACTGGGGTACAGATGCAGGAGCATGGCAACAATCAGGAACTAGTAAAATATAACAGCAATAGAGGGACAGCTGTAGTAAAACAGAATATCCATAAAATGTTTAAACACTTTACCAATATTCTGAGGGGAAAAAAAAAATTGCAGTGACACTAAGGAGGTCTCCAAAAATGATTATTAGCAGGTATTGGTAGTTCAGTCAATGCAGTGGGGGTCACAGACTTTCACCACCTACTGAGCACATTCAGTAAATAACCGGTAACGTGCCACTTTTGGGTCTTTGATGTGGAACAATCTATCCCTTTTGGCAAAATACCCAAACTCTTAGAAGTAGTAACATCACATAATAGAGGAGAAGAAAACCAAACCACACAAGCATATTTTGCCATACTTTGTAAAACATCATTTAAAAATCAATGTTTTAAATCATAGATGTAGTTAAAACAAAAAATGAATGTTTAATTGTACAATATATGCTCTCAGTATGTGCTTTGTTAGATTACTGTTAATACAGGTGTAAAATAGATGAGCAGGGGTGAAACATGTACAAGTATTGTATTTGTTGGAATTTTATAATTCTGTTTGCTATGTTTACAATAGAAGATTGGGACCCAGGGCTTAATGAGAAAACCAAGGGCACACTTAATCAAAACCTTTAGAACTGAAAATGTCTTAAGCAAAATATAGCCCCAATTCCCAGATTTGTGAATTTTAAAGAGCTCAGAGATATTTTAGAACACTTTCTTCTGTTTATTGTTAGTCACCATATTTCACTGCCAACCAACTTAACATTAATCGGATGCATTTTTAGAGAACTGCATAAAACATCTGCTTAAGCATTATATAATCAATTTAGACAGCTTTCCACACATTGTAAACAGCAACAAGTATTTGTCAACATAGCTTGCAATCTTTTAGCAGCCTATAGTAAAAGAAAACAGCAAGACTTGTCAAATGATGCCAAATGCTGGAACAAGGCAACTTAATCCCATTAATCAGAATTTACAGTAGAAGGCTTGAGACTTAAGCATCAGTTTTGTGAAAAGTACAAATAAGTGAAAATATAGCAGAACCTTACTGAAAGAACAGAAATGCATCACTCAATTGGCTAGTTAGGCAATACAAAGTAAATACTTTTTGACTGCAGCACCTCATACCAAGCTTCAGTTTATAAAAGCAGACATTAAAGGGACACTCGACACACATAGAGCACTTTAGCTTGCTGAAAAGCCTTATGTGTGAGGAGAGTGTCCTCTTTTTAGATTTTGCAAAAAAAATAAAAAATAATAATAATGCAGATTTCAGTAGAAAATTACACTTTTATAAATTAATCTGGTTACACCCCCATGCCTTTCACGCAGCCAACAGGTGTAAATTCCTTGTTGCTAAACTCAAGAGGCAGCAATCACCAAGAGCCTTGCATAGATTTCTCATTCAGCTGCAATGGGCATTTTGTGATTGGATAGCCACAGAAAGACTGGGTAGGGTTTGCAAAAGCTGCAAGCAAGAGTAATGCAGGTTTAGCAAGCGGCTTTTAGACATAACCCAAATGAAAACATGCATGTGGTCTTTTGACAAGTAATCCACTTAGCAAGCAGTTAGTTAACATACTGAAAAAGCAATAAGCGCAAACAAAAAACAGCATCACAATCTGCAGTGTTTAGCGTGCCTGAGGGTGTTCAGCCTGCAAACGTGAAGGAAGGAAGTCTTTGTAATCATCCACTTTCTGAACGACAGCTATGTCACTTAACCTTTTGTGATCCTAGAAGACTCTTCATTCAAAGGCTGAGACTTGGCAGTGCAATTTCATATTAAAGGAAACTGCCACATAGTATTTATAGACAACCAATACCCAAAAGAAGCATTTGATTTTTTTTTTAGAGACGAAAATGCATTGTTTAAAATGCAGATAACATTGCGGAAAAAAATGAAAGCAAAATAAACGTGTTAAAGATATAGAGAATTGTCTAACTCCACAGAGCTAGCCTTTATCGAGGCCACACACACACTATGGATACAAGCATTTCCACATATACACAAACAAATTCACGTGAAACAAAACATCCCCCACGGCAGAGGCAGCAAAAAAACAAAATGAAAATAAAAACGTGCTGAACGCGCTTGCATCTGGTCAGCTGCCAATTGGTTGAAAAAAAAGGCATACGGCAAGTTTAAACCACGCACGGCAGTCTTTTCATCCTACACAATTCTATGTGCATTCTTAAAGTAACTTCTTGCTTCGATCAAGGCTATTCATATAGTGAGAGGTGATATGTAAAGCTATTCAAGAAGTTAAGGTTAATATAATTAACGCATGTGCCATTTCAATTCTGCTGAAAATAAAGGAGAACATTTTTTTTTATAATATATATATCTATCACTGGAGAGAAAGTGCTTGGCACGTGTCCCCAATTACGTTATAATGGACTACTGAACATTTGCCCTTAAGACCAGGCTACGCACACACAATATTAAGAAGAAAAAAAAAAAAAAAACTGGCATTACAATGAATTTATCCACTATTTACTGAAGGATGGAAGACATTTTTGGCAGCAACAATTCTCTATGTAAATACTGAAAGGTTCTTTTTCACAGCACGGAGAAAAATGACATTTCTGCTAAGCCCTATCTAAGAACATATATAGTGATTTAGACAACCAGGCTGTAATATGTTGAAGGAATCCTAAAATGCGTGTTTAATAAGTCAACATAAAATTGGGATCTCATCTGGCAATCAATTACAACCAATAAGTCAATTTGGCGAGACAAATGCATCTCTCTCAAGTAAGACTTCAAGTAAATGTGATATTTATAATCTGCTGATGAAGGTAAAAACATATGATTAGGTGTGCCTTGGAAATTCATCATTTACTAAAGTGCACCTTGGTCCAAAAAAAGGTTGGGAACCGCATCTCTACTCGTCTCCAACTCTAGGCAATTACAGTAATATTAAAATGACGATTAAAGACAGAGCCAAATACAAAAAAAAAAAAAAAAAAAAAAAGAACCCAATGATCCCAGCCAGTTCTTTCTGCCCAAAGACTACTAAATAATCTTACAAAGCCCATCCACAAGTGCTCACACACTTGGCCTTAATAACGGGGAGCAGTAGGCAAAATATACGTGTCAACGCCAATCAAAATATAAACTTTAGTGGGAGTGACTTTAAATGGGGGTCTGCTGTAGTATAGCAAACAAGACAGGGCCAATCATGCCTGAAAACAAACGTGCTCAATTTAGCACAAATTAAGTAAAAATTCAACATAGCATCATTTATTTGTGGGAAAAAATGCAATAAGGCAGTTACTGCAGACAATGGAAGATATTGACAATGATATGGCTACATGTAAATTGCAAATTTAATTTAGATCTTATTGCCTGCTCTGGTAAAAGGTTACGCTAACCTATTTTTTCTGATATCCTAAGTTTATCATGCCCTACTGACCATTATTCATTAGCTCCCCCCTTTTTAACGTAAAACTTACGTTGAATCCAGTGCCAGTCAAAAGATACCAAAACAAATATCGGCAGTTCTCCAATCAAATGCTTGTCCTAGAGAAACATTTTATTGGATCGTTTGTCCATCTTTGAGCGCATGCACACGCTCTCAGCCAGGTAGGGGAGGGAAGGGGTATTTTGTGGGTTTTTTTTAAAGACAAACCAGGCAATGCTTCCCCTTGCAGAAACACTGCCTGCAAACGAGAAACTCTTTACATCTGTCCCCAGGATGATGTGCGAGCTGACAGACGTACATTATTTTTTAACAGAATTGACATTCTGGCATTTAGGCAGCCTGGAACAGGAGTTCCATCATGTGTCCCGTTGGTTTATATGGCTCCAAATATTCAAGTAGAAAGGCTACACATGCAGATACCTACCACCACAACCACTTCTAGAAGCAGAAGCGCGCTTGCACAAGCCTCCTGTGTATGATTAAAGTTACATTAACAGAACGGGAGATAGGAACTTCTACAGCACAGTAAGCATACTGTGCTGCAAGATCGTTGAATATGAAACCATTTTTGTCGTTGAGGCTGTGAGAGTCACTGACAGCGGAGATGTGGCTAGGGCAACAGAAACAAGAGTGTTTTAATTCCTAAATGGCAGATAATTGAGCAGAGAAACTTCAGGGGCATTATGTTTACACTAAAACTGCCTCATTGAGCTAAAGTTGTTTTGGTGCTTAAAGTATCCCTTTAAGTTACAGAGTTAATTGCAGTACACAATGACAGCTACAGATTCATGTCAGTCACTGTGATATTTAATGGTGTGTGGAGATCAGTTACACTGGTGATCATACTGTGACTGATCAAGGCTGGTTTCTCCTAGCTCGCGGATCACGCTGTCACCTCCACTATGCGGATTTTGGAAGTTCTACCCACCAACATGGAAGTAACCTTGTGGCAGCATAAATCCCCTGCAAGTGGCCTTAGATGGTATGCGATACACCATGGTCAGGAGACACCCAGCTGCACATTACTAGAACATGTATGAATGAGATTCGAACAGGTCAATGTGTAAACAGTTTTTAATTTACTGATCTTCAACTTTAGCAGACTGTCTGAAAGAAGGTAGATTCAGATGTTCCCATCAGACACTGGTGATTGGCCTTCTAGGTCCACTTTAAGTAAAGACAGACTTGCGTGATTGCCATTCACATGCCATTTTTATGGTTCATTAACCAAAACAAAGGACACGTCTGTGAGAAACTTCTTACACAGCCAACTATCATGAATGAGCAACACAGTTAAATGATGACATACATGAAGCAAGAATACACCAAATTCACAAAAGAACACAAGATGGCAGCAGAAAAGAACCAAGTGATTTATCAAACTTTGAATGCCACTTCTACTAACTGCAGGTACTGCTTGTCAAAATAAACTCCTTTGCACATCGAAATTAATGTTCTAGCACATCCTGGCATACAATGCAAATTAGCTAGCATAGAGCACCATGGGTAGACCGTGTTAGAATTAAAAGCGAGGATCAGTATTCCTTTGTTTGATGTAATAGATTGACCTATGACTGTTGGAGGTGCTAACATGGGGTACTGTCTGGTGTACAAGAAGATTTAGGAGTAAGCTCTGCATGCCAGGCTAAATTAGATGTATGAAGTCCACTACTAATGAATAACATTCCCCTGCAGTCAGTTTTCAGTTCCCATCTGGTTACAACACAACGCTTACCTTTCATTTCCGAGTCTGTAGTGGGAGTTCCTGTGTCTCTCTGATCAAACGATTCGGCAGAAATACTTCTTTCCCTTTTTCCTTTCCCTTTGGCTCCATTCCCTGCCCCATTTTTAAGTCCCATGCTGCCTCCAGGTCCAGGCAGCGGTTTGGGGGTGTGGTTGCCACTCTTTGGGTCACAAGGGGATGCTTGTGACTGGCTTGCAGAGCTTCCTTGTTTCCCCTGGCTGGAGAACTTGGTGTCCAGCTGGGGGTTGCCAGATGGAGACATCACGGAAGGAGGATGTACCATAACCTCCGCCTTCGATTTTGGGCTACTGAAAGAAGAATGGAGAGAGTAAATAAGGGTCTTGTCACAATGACACACATCAATAATTATCAGAATGCAATTAGAAATTTCCTGCAGAAAATCAGTTTCAAACTATAAGGCTTCTAGCGCAATAATTTGTCAAACTTGGTCCTAAAAGGCAATGTTTTCCAGCACAGTTTAGAGCAGTTATCAAGAACAAATTAAATAAGTACCTTGTGACCTGGAATAAATGATAAAGTAATAAAACCAAACCACCCCAATCAGATATGTTTTGGATCAGTGCATGTATATCTTTTCCTTCCTCGCAATTGCCCTACTTTAAACATGGACTTTTTGGTGCTTTCTAAAAGCTTTAACTAGTTAAAGTTGCATTAAACTTGAGCAATTGGAAGCGAATTAACATGTAAAGATTAAGAGGTAGCATCAAGACTCCAATGACAGCAGAGAGAGAGCCACAGAACACGACAAATTAAATCCCTAGTCTGTTGTTGAAACTCATGTTTGCAGGCTACTCCGCACCAACGGCACTCAACAAGCTATAGTGTGGTTTTATAAAACTTTTTTCACTTGGACCTAAATTACAGGTCTGGCTTTAAGTTAGCAACTTATTTATCAAATGGGAACCTAACTCGGAGAAACAAACAATCTTGAACCGTATTTAAAGCATCAGAATTGTGCAAAAACACCTTAGAACTTCCCTCCATCAAAAAAATGCAGTGCACTGGAAAATGCAGTGCTGCTACAGTAAACCGTTTACTGTGGGCAAGGCCCTGGGGCCTGATGAATATAATACACCTCTTACTGCCAGTGGTGATAAAAGTTCATTGTAAGCACTATAACCACAGTGCCCTACGCTAACTACTGCCATCAAAGGGTGGGCAGATTTGTACAAAGAGTGCAGAAATGTAATTTTCACTTCAGGTTGGCTGCTAAGGGACCACCCAAGTATGCTGGGGAGAGATGTTTGTCAAACTGCTCTAAAAAGAGGCCAGATAGAAAACCGGAGGATGGAGACCGCAAGCAAAGTTCTCAAACTACTGCAATAAGCTGTAGTGTTTTCAGTATCACTTCAAACTATGCGTTTATGGAAGAAAGCATGAAATAAAATAGCAATCAATACAAATTCTCATTCCATTTCTCATTACAAAGAGAAACATGATGCACCATGTAAAACATCCTGACACATGCTGACCTCACTGATCACTTTGTGAGTCTGCAAGGCAGTCCAGTTACATATGCAGGAGAGAATTACAGGGCTAGACTATGTCAACTGTAGGCTATTTCTGTTTAAAGGAGTACTATAGAGTTCGGAATATAATCATTAGTGATGTCCCGAACGGTTCGCCACGAACGGTTAGCTGCTGACTCATCATTGAGTAAACTTTGACCCTGTACCTCACAGTCAACAGACACATTCCAGCCAATAAGCAGCAGACCCTCCCATCTCCTGGACAGCATCCATTTTACATTCATTGTGAAGATGCATTCTTAGTGAGCTGTCCCGGAGGTGGGAGGGAGGGTCTGCTGCTGATTGGCTGGAATGTGTCTGCTGACTGTGAGGTACAGGGTCAAAGTTTACTCAATGATGAGTCCGCAGCGAACCGTTCGGGACATCACTAATAATCATGTATTGCTTTCTCTAGTGACTAATCCCTATTTAGTTAGAGGAAAAATAAAATAAATAAAAACATGTTTTCACTTCCTTTTTTCAGCACAGAGACTCCCTCTGTGCAACGTTAAAGAAGAATTGCTTCCCATCACTGGTCCAAGCCAATGTTCTTGAAGCGGATTCCAATGAACTGCAACATCACATGCGACTTTTACTCAGTCAGCAGAGTAGCAAAAGAGTATCTAGTGACCGCCTGGAAGACAGCCACTAGAGGTGTGTATAACCCTGCATGTTTTATATTACAGAGTAAAAATTATAGGACTACTGCACCCTGGCCACTTCATTAGGATAAAGAGGTATCTGTGACCTAAGTAACCTTTTAATGAGTTATTTGTGATGACTATCTAGGAGGTGGATGTATTCATGTCATTTTAAATGGCAGTGTACATGCTAAGCCAAATGCAAATCCATTCACTATCACCACCACAACTGTAGGGCTGTGCATTCTCTCTGGAATCCCTCTACAAGAATCCTCATCTGTGACTACTACCATCGCTCAATGGTGATCAATACCATCCCATTTATGTCATAATAAAAAGGTTATTGCCCCACACCTGGTAATTAAGAGGTTAAAGGGAGAGAAGATTATGTTCTACAGCCGAGAGAAAGGTTCCCACAAGCACATACCGGAATATTTTGCGGAGTGATCATCCACATGTGCGCTTGGCAAATGCTGGCAGGTGCCAGGGACAGAGGTCAGGCAGGTCCTCAATAACCATAGCAGTGGTAAGGGAAGAGGTCTGGCACATCTGCTCACTTGAAAGCTTTTTTTAGTAAACCAATGTCACAAGCCTGTCACACTGGCATACTAAATAAAGAAGCAAACTGAGCGGTGGTGCCAGACCTCCTCCCATGCTACTATGGGACTTTTCACACTGTCCTTTCCCGTTCTATACGAGGAACTGTGACCTGAATTTATTGATCTTTTCACAAACATCATATCCCAACTATCCATTTTTTCAGCTAATCATCTTCCCCCACTGATTAAGTCTACATACACAAATCTCTGTATGTTTAATGCATCCAACCTCTTCGGTGCTATGACCCTTGAAAATGTTCCTGTCCAACTTGTATCAAATCATATACATTTTTTTTTTTAAACCACAACAGTGGGAATTTGATACAAGTGGGACAAGAACATATATATAATTTTTTTTATATTTTTCTTTTAGTTACGGTGGAATTCTCCATCCTCCAGTATGAGCTACTGTTTCCTGAACATTCTGGACAAAACAAACAGCCTGTCTAGGTGTCTCTAAGTTTAAAAAAAAAAAAAGAATATATGTTACAAGATACTGGACGTTAGTTTGCCATAATAGTTCCCGTAAAACAAAGAGTTAACAGAGAGGCAGCAAAGTACCATAACAACACGCATGCAATATGTGGCCAATATAAGCAGTCCACAGAGCGAGTGAGAATAAATATGAGAACTTTTACAAGTACTTTATTACTTCCCTGTCACGGCCAGCTGAGAATATCATCAACAGTTAGAGAAAGGTTGCACAATACACAAACACACTTTGTTATATAACAAGACACGGTGCTGGCATGTACAGTTGGACATAGACTTGCAGACGCCAGAGTCCACTCTCCACTTACACATAATTTAAATAGATTGAAACAACCATTGTTATTCTGTACAACAAGGTGAGATTCTGCAACCATGGGCCAGTGCTGGACTGGTTGGAACACATGAAATCCTACTACAGCGGCTTCTGTCAATAAACCAGTCTGTTGCTATGTACACAGAGATGAGAAACAATAAGTTCTGCTCAGAGTAAATAAACCGTGCTATCACAAACCAAAGCCCCGTAACAGGTGGGATCAATGACAGAGTAACACTGCTGCACGGGGAACACCGTTCACTGGGACCCTACTGTAAGATTAAGACATCCAAGGTTGTGGATCAATAACTAAGCAGTACACAAATACATGCAGCTTGCAATACAGACTTGCATTTTTTTTCTCCAGATGCACTGGAGTGACAAAATAGAAAGCCAGTGCTTTACAGCAAATGTATGAGCCACTGATCCATACCTCAAACTGATCAATTCCTGAGTGGCAGCTAGTCAAACAATGCATTTTACAAAGCAAGGGTTATTTTTTCTCATCTATATGAAGAGCAATTCAAGAGTTTGATTAACTTGCAGTTGCTGTCTTTGACGGATGCATGTTGCGGTGCTGCATGGAGGTAAACCAACTTCTCATAGAACTCAAGACTTCGAATATAATTTTATTCTCTGATAGTAGCTTATAGTGATTTAGAAAAAGCACTGTCATTATAGGATAGTCCACCAGCAACACTTCCTTTAAGCTGGCCTTATCCAAGATTGAACCTACTGCACATGCAGTGTGTGCACACAATATGGAAGGCTCTCCTTGGACTGGACTCTACAAATATGTTAATGGCAAGGTCTCTTTCAGAAAATGTATAAAACATAACATATACCTCTGCAAACACACAACTGTTCAAGTTCCTAGGTAAACACATGAATGGTTAATAAAATGTTCCAGGCATCTGTAGAAACTGGCACTGACTTTATACCGTGTCCAACACTGTGTGCTTGGCAACGCTCTATAAATGATATTTCAGTCACATTATTCACAAACACAACTTACTAAAGATGGTCTGTCTCAACACAACTGGTTGTCAGTCAAACCTGATTTAGCAAAATACACAGTACTATAAACTCCAGCAGGTTTAGAACTGCCGAGTACAACTTTAGGCTAAAAATGGCTCAATTAAGAAAAATTTCAAGTTTAAACAAATTTAAAAAGTGTACAATTACATCAGGATCTAAACACTCGGGTTTACGCAAACTGAGATTTGTGAAGAATTAACAAATGGCACATTTTAGGCCCCAATAGCAAAGTTTAAACATTCTCAGATTTAGTTCTGCTATTTTAGCCCAACATTTAGAATTTGCCTGACAACTGTTCACAATTCCCTGCTTAACAAATAAACTCCCTGGAGATGACAGGACAAGCTACAATGCTCAAGGGATTCATTGAGCAGCAGTTTTAGTGAGGAGGGCACTAGGGATTTTTGAAAACTCATTCTTGGTGCAAGTGACCATGTGTTGTAACAGACATTTCCTTCCATACCTCTGTGCGTTTCCTGATGGGGAGTTGCGGACTTTGGGGTTACTGGAATGCATTGACAGAGATCCCGAGCACGCGGTCACAGACGCAGTGGGGCTTGCCAAGTTCTTTGGAGGGCTTGGGGTCTTTAAATGGCTCCTCAGAGCTTTCTGCGAAGTGCTTGTGTCAGTGTTGTCGTTTTGCTCGTCTTTTTCCTTTTTGTTGCGCTCTCTCTTGTTGAAGTGGACTCTCCCCTCCTGCAGTTCCAGCATTCTTCGGACATGTGTCGCTCGTTGCAGAGGGAACGCTGTGCATCGCCAGGGCACACTGGGAATAAAAAAAAATAAAAAAATAAAAATTACAGATTTCAATGAATTAAAAAAAATCAGGGGTGAATTTTTGGACCGCTGAAGTCCCTTAAAAGGATCACTATAGGGTCAGTAACAGAAACATGTATCTATAGTGCTAAACCCACCATTTAGTGGCTTGCCCCCCCCCTTAGCTCCCATATAAAAGTTTAAAAAACTCACCTTATCTCCAGCGCCACGCAGGTGCGCCGGCTCCGCCCCCTGTTGTGGCCACCAAAATGGCAAATTTTTAGCCAAATTGGCTAAAATCGGCACGGGGCAATCAGACTAAGCAGCAGCAATTGCAAAGTTCTTGCTGCTTGGCACAGTGAAAGATAGTCCCAAAAGATGGAACCCTGCTGTCACCCTCTCTCTATGGTGGAACACTGAGCTGCAGTATCATTGTTACATTCGACTTGAGTGAGAAATCAGTCGATACGGAAGCCTTTAGAGCAGGGTTGACCAAAATATAGGTATAAAAACAAAGAAAATTAAAATACAGAGCCCTCCAGCAGTATTTATTTACTAGAGATGCTGAACAGGTGTTAATGTGATAAAATTAGACCCCAACCCAAACAGCAGAATGCGAGTTTCCGGATTGTGCAACCTCATCCTGGCGAGGGGAGAGGTCTGCCTGTTAATGCAGACATCACCTCTCAGCTGAGCAGGTACTTGCTATATTTTTAATGCATTATTTCTATCACAGATTCAGATTTCCCCTCTCTACTAGCCACCGGCAAGTGAATATCCGGCCCTGGCAAGCAGAAATTAATGCCTGGTTTGGGTGCTAAGCTTGCAGTGGAGAGTAACATAGGCCCAGCTAGCATTGCAGAGCTTGATATTTTGAGCAATCTATAAATCAGGGCTTAAAATTTCAAACCCTATACTACTAGCCAGACCTTAAGTTACACACCACTGAAAGCCTGGAGAGTCAATGGCGCACTCACCAGGGCTGAATCTTCACTTACCAATGGCTGTAGAAAATTTAGAGCCCTAAACTAGATCATGCAATAAAACTAGGGTGTCACATTTTGCCTAACGATTTCTTTTACCCTACAGCGTTTATAAATACAGAGTCCAGGGCTTAAAATTTAAACTTGCCCACTAGCGAGTGGAAATTCATTGGCCCCCACTGAAAGTTCTCAGTGCCGTTTGAATCTGCAGTCTTCGACATTGAGGTTACACCACCTGGCAGCGTCAGCCATTTAGAAGGGTACCCTCAGGTCCAGACTCTTGAACCCCACTGCTCCTTACTTTTCTCCAGCCCAGTAGGCAGTTACTATCACAGTGAATGATTGGAAAAGTTATTTCTATTTAATTTCTTCTGACTTCCTTAGCTTTTGCAGTTATAGCAACACCATAACAGTAAAGCCTTCAATATGAAGTAGACAAGGAGCTGGAAGAAGGTGTCCTGTCTGACGCTATACAAGCGATTTAGGGGCAGGCTGGCTAAACAGGCTTCTTACGTATTACTGCATAGTGGTAAGGCCTGGCTAGTAGTTTAGGACTTTTTGAGCCCTGCGTTGATCTATATATTGAGAGTGACAAAAACATGCATCAATCTACTCAATATCATTTTTCCAACCAGCCCCCAAACAAACATTTAACCCACACCGTGCAATACATCTTGTACAGTATACTAGATCAGTGATTCCCAACCCAGTCCTCAAGTAGCAACGAGGGAATTCCTAAATCCTGGACTGATAGGGGGTACTTGAGGACTGGGATGGGAACCCCTGTACTAGATCAATGCTTCTGAGAGCCTGTGGTCTTGAGGGAACAGTTCTGAGAATTTAGTAACTTCATGGCAGTTAAATGCCCTTAGAGTGCTTGTTTAAGAAGCCCAGTATTATATAATACCATGAGTCGACACAAAATAAGATTACAAATGTTTGTTATTGAATACCTAGAGTGCCTCAATACCAGACAGGATGGCATTATTCACTATACTGCTTAGAGGAAAATACATTAAACCTCCTCGTCATTCGCTAAATCTTGGCCCGTGAACACAGTACAGTTTGCTAATCTAGCATTCCAACACATGCACAGCTCATCAGATCCATTAACAAAAAGAAACATAGGACAGCAAAAGCAATCTATAAACTGCCATGTAAAACGTAACAAGTGCGGCAAACCTGTTACTTTCTTACAACCGTAAACGTGTTGCTCTATTACCTGGAGTAGATACACATCTTATACAAACATGCGGTACCTGGTAATTATTTGCAGAGATTTACCAGTACCAATTCCCTGCAATTAAAAATTTTCATTTTATAGCAAGGCCCTCAGGCAAGGAGGATTACAGAGGCTACTGTTTCTAGCTCGTACAAATCAGTGAACACTGCAGATTTTTTTTCCCCCTCATCTTTGATTAAGTAACATCAAACACTACTCACCAGGTCCCTGAGGTCACGATACAGCTGTACTCATCCTAGTGGACAGCCTAGGAGGATCCTTTTAAGAGAAACAGTTACCTGCAAAAAAAAAAAAAAAAAGCAGAGGAGCCTTTAAGAGAAACAAACATTAATTTTTAAGAAAATAAAACTATTTTCTGCCATCCACATCCAGGTGGTTCGTACTGCAGCACTTGTGTAGAAAGGCAAATAATTTACTTGAAGGTTAAAACACTTTTTACTAAAGGTTTTGAAAGTTATTATGTATCAAGGAGGTCACAGACTATTTTTCAAGTCCCTTTCTTACAGAATAAGTAAAGGGCAACTTTCAAGATTTTTTTTTTTATATATATATTTAAGTAAAATAGAAAATAAAGTAACCCGTATTATACATTAAATAACCCTGTATGCAAAGAGGTTTGTAGAATTTCAGAGTTAGATTTATTTAGGAGTCGAGGAAGAATTCTCTATAAAATACTGAAAGATTAGTTGCAGAGGTAAATGTGGCTGACTGGTAAGAACTCACTGTTATTAGGATTTGTTTTTGGAAAGAAAGATTTTTAAGGTATGGTCCTGTGGCTTTTCCACACACTTAGAATGACTGTATCTAACTGCTACTGAATTTGAAAGGAACCTGAAACCCAGCAATATATAATTAATCGTGGAAGATTTGTTAATGAAGATCTCTGCTGCTTCTGCCACAATAGTCTTTCATTAGTGAAACCAAATTAACTATAATACTCAACAGTTCTGGGCTTTTGGTTATACTTTTCCCCATTAAGCTATGACGCTGTTCAAGAATGATGAGACTTGAATTCAGAGAGCCAGAGCAACCATTGCTGTATGATAAAAGAATGTAATGCATTTCATAGCATGGGTTAAGAATGGCATTGTCTATGACATTTGTACAGGCCTATTCAGATACAGTCTGAATCGAGTCAATGTTACATAAACTGAAATATAAATATCATGGATGTGAAAAATCAGTCTACAATGGCAATCATCCTGCCATAAATGTAGTTATTTTCCCTTTCAGCTCACATGTATTCCAACAGTGAACATGGTATTCCACAAGAAATATTACACAATATGGAGAAATTACATGGTCACTACAAGTTTCAGAACAAAATATCCCAACTGAAAACAATGGAATGGAGTATTTCTTTTTTTAAATTCTGCTATTTTAGCCTACTATGTGATATTCTTGTAAATCCTCCATATTATCGAGTTAAAGAAACACTATAGGGTCATAAATACAAACATGTATTCCTGACCATATAATGTTAAAAACACCATCTACCCCCTGCCCCTCCTCCCCCCTAAATATAGTCAAATCATACTTTAATTTCAGTCTGCTGCTGCTGGCTCTGCCTGCTTGACTGACATCAGAAGTGATTCTCTCAGCCAATCGCAATGCTTTTACAAAGGAAAGCATTGGATTGGCTGAGACTGTCAAGGAGGCAGATCAGGGGCTGAGTCAGCACAAACCAAATGCTGCCCTACCAATCAGCATTTCATCAGAGATACATTGAATCAATGCATCTCTGAGGAAAGTTCAGTGTCTGCATGCAAAGGGTGGAGCCACTAAATGTCAGTGCTGCAGTGTGCAACACTACCCCAGAAACCATCTGTAGCAGCCATCTGAAGAGTGGCCAGTGGAGGTATCCCTAGGCTGTAATGTAAACACTGCATTTTCTCTGAAAAAAGTCTTGACTGCAAAAAGCCTGAAGAGAATGATACTACTCCCCAGAAAAAATACAATAAGCTGTAGTTGTTCTGGTGGCTATTGTGTCCCTTTAAGCAAAAATAAATATAAATAAATCATCATCGCTGTTTACTTTTTTGTTTAGTATTTCATATGGAGAATAGGAAGACCATGATTGGCTGTGTGGAAGAGTCATATAAGCAGCTCAGCTCTCACTGATCTCTCATTGGCCAAGCTGTGTACATACTCAGGAGTTCTAATGAAGGTGGTTTGTGAAAAAGCCATGACTATGGAGTAGCGATATGCTGAGATACAAAACTAAAGATTAAGATTAGAATAGAGGCCAAAACATACAGATGCAATTAAGCTGGGCTGGTGCCTGGAGTGTCCCCTAATGGAACCATTACATATGATTTTGTTCAATTTCACATCCACCTATTTGATTCTCTATATCCTACCTTTAGGAGCTAGATTCCAAGGAGCACATAATGTTTTAGTGACTTCAGAACGTAACAGAAACAAGGAAATACTTGCATTAATAATGAATCCAAATGCAATGGGAGGAAGAGCGGTGATTCAGTGTTTTAGCAGCGACCAAGAGGTACTTGCTTTTGAAGGGTTTGATTAAGAAATGACGCAGAGAGTCTGTTCACCCAGATGTTTGAAAAAAATAAAAAAAATATACATAAACATAATTAGATTTACAATCTCTAGTGTAATTTAATCTCTCTGCAATTTAGTTATTAATAAAACAGTTTATTGCTCCATCATCAAAATCAAGTGTGACCAACACGTGGTTGTAGAACAACACCCACAATGCTTTGCCACTCTTTATAACTTTTTTTTTTTTTTTAAAGACTTTTTCCTATCAGTTTATGTAATTTGGTTCACTCTAAGATAGATCAGGATTAGCCAAAAAGTAAACCCTCATCTGTTGTAGAACTACACAATACCTATGATGCTATCCCAAGCATCACGTTGTAGCTCAAAATGTGAGAGCTTACCTGTTGGCCAACCCGATTAAACTCATAAGGCAAAAATGATAGATGGTATATAATTATTGCTTGTATATAATTATACACGATTGCTGTGCAGGCACATTCTACCTGTAATGCAGTTACAAGGTAAAGGGCAATCTTAGGTCACTGGATTTACCTTAAAGGGCTACTCTTAGCCCACAACCATTAAAACACTCTGTAGTGGTTATGCTGCACGCAGTGCCATGGCGCAATCTCACAGTAAGATGTCAAACCATTCACAAAAGACGTGACACTCACCCGGGTCAGTCTGCAACGATAAGCTATAGTGATAGTTCATACATTAGCAATGTCAATTTTGTGCTACTTTGCACATCGTTCAAGTGTCAGCTCCTGCTCCCAGGAAATTAAGTTCCAATAACGTCAAAATTGATATTGCTAAAGATAATGGGAAATTTCACTGTAGCGATAGCTCCGAAGACCACAAGGACTAAGGTATTCAATGTACCTGAAGGAGCAAGGCAAGTTTTAAAACAGTTTGACATCTTACCATTGGATGGTGCCAAGGCATCACGGGCACCAGAACCAGTACAGAATGATTTTGTGCTCAGAGTACACCTTTAAGGAACAGAATAACAATGTAATCTGCAGGGGTGGGGGGGAAGGAATCCTAGACACATAGTACGTTTATGGGAATCACCCTGCAATGGATAAAGCAATGGTACTGTCCTCCAGTTTAATGTAAAGTGGTTTAGGAAGAACAGTGTTTCATACGCACAACAAATATAACCAAGAAATTGGAAATAAACAGGAAGAGAACCTCAAAACAAAAAGACCATACAGATAAAAATCAAACACTTTGTTGTGCATCTTACAACTAATTACAAGTCCTGTTTGATGCAAGAGTTCTCATGGATAACGGTCATGAAGCCCTGGACAAGATAATCATAGTTGTGAGCTATGTTACCAGTTTTAGATTTTAGTATACTTTGATTTAATAAACCCTCTAAAGTAGGGTGCCGCTGCAAACAGTAATGAACCCTCAAAATCATAGCACACAGCTTTGGTTCCATTTTGATGAATGCAAAAGTCAATTCCTACTGACCAGTTAGAATGATGTAAATAATATCTGGCTGTGGGAGATGGTGAAAACAGCCGTGGTACCTGCAGCAATACCTGTAACGCAACGGTCAAGCAGACAGCAAACTTATGGAAATTAAAAAGCATTGCATTTCAGCACTACAACGTGCTAGCAGGATTGCTAGAAAATGTACTGATCTAAATCTCATGCCCCAATCTATCAGCCACTTCATAACAGGCACTTCTATGTCAAGTATGTCAATTATACCCGCCAAAGACGACCTCTTAAAGGAGTGCTTGAAGGAGTGCTGTGTAGTGGTGAAGATTACAGGAATACCCAGCCCTGGTTATTGGGTAAACGGTTTATTAAGTTTGCCCTCTTACCCTGATCTCCACCATGTTACAATGCACCTCTATGTCTGGGGACGTGCAACTTGCTTCTGCAGATGTTGGAGGCCAATCCAGTCTGCTCAGATTTGACATTAGCCAACCTGGACTTGTTCAGGACTGACTAATCATGCACCAATGACATTGCTGTAGGAGTCCATACTGAAACAGTCCAAGTGGTTACTCCAAACACCATGACCAGTTCAAACCACTTAAGTGGTTATGGTGCTTGAAGTAGCCCCTTTAAGGCAGGAAACAATCAAGGTGACTGAGTATGAAGGGAAATCTAATTCACAAATCCAGGTTACCAAGCTCATCTTCATTGCTCGAGTAATATATAATTATTTTAATGCTTCTGCTAAAGTTTCACCCTAATTCTCTAAATAAACTACCATTGCATTAATCAATTAACCTAATTGGCAAAGTGCTATATTAAAATCACAGCATTTCAAAAGGTGGCATTGTAACATGGGAGATGATATACTGAGGTTTAGCCATAAAATCCTAAGGTGACCCAAGTTCACAGATCAAGTTGCGGGCTATTAAGAAATAATCTCCAAATTAATCAATGATTAGAAGACGCAAACAGAATCCTAAAGATATCGGTTACTGAATTCTTTGTCAAAGATGCCAACTGACATGCATTATGAATACGCGTGTAAAAGATTTCACAAAGTTAACCTTAACACATCTTTGAGTGTATAACTCCCCATTTACTAATTGCTACACTACAAAATATAGCTGGACTAACTGGAGAATATATGGCCACACAGGTGAACATCACCAGCAGTTTGAAGTCAACTTTAGACTTGCCGAATTTCAAGTGTCATACAAGACAAACAAATAAAATAAGCTCCAAATGTTTATTCTCATGCAGACTTTGCAATTGGGGAACTAGGCTCATGGCTCTGAATGCTCTAATATTGCACAGCTTATACAGAATGAACAAATTTGAAGAGGTATGCGACTTTCAATAAATCACCTTGATTTCAATGTAGTCAAACTCAGAAGGTCACCCATTGTTGATGCAAAAAGTAGAGATGTATTGTAGAGAGGTGGTAAAGAAGATTGACAAACCGTGAAATTGCCAAACTATTTTACCGAAGCACTAGAATCCAAAGCACTTTGATTCATGCGCAGTTTTAGAGGACAATATGCAAAGCTTGGATTCTAGGACTTAAATGCACAATACACAGCACATGGAACTTGTACCGGAAGTCATGGCTGTCCACGCAATGGAGCAAGTTCACCATGCAGACTGCCTGCTTTAAAAAAAAAAAAAAAAAAAAAAATCAGTTGGAGGTTATATTACAACTGTTTGCATTAATCATATAATAATAAAAAAATAGAAACTTCCGCAAATAGAAAATATACTTAAAAATCTTGCAATCAAAAACAAAACCCTTTGGGTGCAGACATTGCCAAATTCTTCACAGCCAGCTATCATGGCTACTGAAAGGCTCTATAGCATCTCACGTGGCAAACAAAACCAAAAATAAAAAAATGCTACCATCTATTTCAAGTTATTGTAATGAGCAGATTGCTCTAAGGCAGTGTGTGAAAGCTGCGATGTGTCTTAAATCTATGCAATATAATACCTAAAGTAAAATGGGTAAGTAGAAAAGACCCCACCCTATACATTTTTACAACACCTTTGCTTCCTAATATTTAGGTCTTAGTTCACGTAAAATCACCCTAACCACTACAGTTCATTACAGTGGTTATAGTGCCAGTAGTACAGTCGCACTATTCCAGTTAGCTGTCAGATTGTTACAAATGGTTTGACAATTACCTGGCTGTGTTGTGTTAAGATTCACAAACAAACAAACAAACAAAAAATAAAAAAAAATAATAAAATAAAATTATATATATATATATATATATATATATATATATAGAAAATACAGAGTATGATCTTATACCTTAGTTACTGTATCAGTGCAGAACCTCACAGTTTGCAAATGGTTATACAGCATACAGTGGGATGGTGCCAAGAGATGCCAGGTTATGATGCTTGTAGTATTCAATTAATCAACCTGTCAATTTCTGGGGTAGCATTTGCTTTACTTAGTTACAGTCAATATTTAGTCCTTTCCTCCTCACAGTCACAAAAATAAATAAAAATGGCATGATACTACCATGGGGTGGAAGATACAATTTGATCTACGCACTGTGCTTGCAATTATACTGATGTATAGCTTTTCAGCCTGTAAGTAAAACGACGACTATTCCACCACAGTCCGTGTGCTTTTACGTGCCTTGCTCCCAGATTGCATTCATTTAAGAGATTATGGTGCCTGGAGTCCATGGACACTTAAAATGTTTCTGAACAGTTTAACAGAATTTAAAAAAAATATATATATATATTTTTAAAAAGTTAGTTACGCTCTGCTTTAAACCATACCATAGATAGCAGGCAGTTTACTTGAACCAGGAACACCATAACCATTTCAAAGAGATAAAGTGGTTATGAGGGTTTCAGTATCCCTTTAAATTGAAAACTTCAAGCACCATAACCACTACAGCCCCCAATAGTGCTTATTGTGACAGAAGGGCACTCATGCTGTCCCACAGTAAGGTGTCAAACAGTTTAGTACAGCTTGACAACTAAGCTTGGTCTCACAAGGTGCCAGCATTCCCTGAATTCAGTCTTTAACAAAGTGAACGGCAGCTGAGCTGCTCTGCATCAACCATGTTTTATTCTACAGAGACACCTGGTTTCTCTGTCAGAATACCACATGCAATCGGCGGGACCAAGATACGGTTTCAAACCTTACTTAAAGCGACACTCCACTGCTGGAGTACAAAGTAAATAAAAAGCCCTCCATTTGTAACCCCGCCCAGACCGTCCAATCACAGACTTTCCAATGCAGCTCGATGAGAAGTCTTGGTAAGCCAGGCAGTTGCTGCTTCTTGAGTTCTGAGCAAATTAGCTAACCAAACCAGGAAGGACTTGTCTGCTCAAAAAGCAAGGGGGATAGGGTGGGGTTGAAACCAGTATAATGTGTAAATTTCTGTTGCATTATTTCCAAAATAATAATAAAAGAGGACACTCTTCACACAAAGTTTTTTTTTTTTATCAAGCTAAAGTGATTTAGGGTCTGGAGGGGCCCTTTAACAGCCTCGTGTCCTATTTTAGGACAGTAGAAGGTAGTTATGATGTTTGCAAAGGAACACTCAAAGCATCACAATAGCTCGCTGTAGTGGTTAAAGTGCCAGAAGTGCCCTGGTGCCCACCTATTGTAAGAAGCGATCAGCTGACACCCTCAGCCAATAAGCTAAGCCATACACTGTAGGATTTAACTCAGAACAGTTAAAGGGACACTCCAGGCACCCAGACCACTTCTGCCCATTGGAGTGGTCTGGGTGCCAACTCCCACTACCCGTAACCCTGCAACTGTAAATATTGCAGTTTTCATAAACTGCAATAATTACCTTGCAGGGTTAACTCCTCCTCTAGTGGCTGTCTACTAGACAGCCACTAGATGGCACTTCAGGGTTTATTCCACACATATTGTGCTATAGCGTCGCTGGACGTCCTCACGCTATGTGAGGACCTCCAGCGTCGCTGAAATCCCCATAGGAAAGCATTGAAAGCTTTTTTGAATGCTTTCCTATGGGGAGGTCTAATGCGCGTGCGCGGCATTGCAGCACATGCGCATTAGGTCTCCCCCACTGGATGACGTTGGCGGACCCTGAACCAGCGCCGAGGGACATCGGCCCTGCATACAGGTAAGTCACTGAACTTTGTTTGTTTTCCTGGCACTGGAGAGTCCCTATAAAGGCAGTTGAGGTGCATGGAGGGTCCCAGGTAAGAAATTAAACACCTCAAAACAGATTTGATTCCTTACAATGGTGGTGAGGCTGCAATGTGGTACTTAATTCATTGGCGGAGAGAGTCAGCTGATTATTCCTTACAATAGGGGGAACGCAAGGACTATCATTACACCATAACAGTGATCTAAAGTAGATATGATGCTTGGAATGTTCCTTTAAAAAGGTCAATTCAGGTACTCAACCGGTTTGGTGCATTTGTAGGCAAGGTAACAGTTTGCTATTGGGTAGATTTATACTATTGAACAAATATACAATACTCCCATACATCTAAAGTGCACTATGTAGGTTACAGTTTTTGTTTATTATTAAAGGGTTTTCCATGTCATTAAATGTCACAAACATGATTACCCAGGGTGTTTTATTGGCCAATCTTGGCACCCTGATGTGTGTGAACTACATTTCCCAGAGAACCTGCCAAGTACGGGTATGTATTTCACCTACAGCCACGGTGCTAAACTCAATCATTACTATCATAAAGTGTCCTTAATCCCATTACACATTTCTTGTCCCTCCGTTTACCTTAATTGCCAATTCATCCACACATCTTCAAAAATCCCATTCCTTAATGTTAACCTGTTTACCATTATGTGTTCCACAGACTTTTACACACATTTCCCTAATGTGCTCCATTGGATAATGCCAGCAACACTGCATCCGTCAGTCTATATCAGGGTTCTCAATTCTGGTCCTCCAGATGTTGCTGAACTACAATTCACATGATTATCTGGCTATTTGATTCAAATCATGGGAGTTGTAGTTCAGCAACATGTGGAGGGCAAGAGTTTGGAAAACCCTGGTCTATAACTGCTGTACAGCCCTCTAATGTTTCTTAATATGCATCAGCTTCTGCAACTAACTAAGCTGCTCGACAGCTTATCCCTAGCAGTGTTCCTGCTTTACATAGAGTGTCATTTGGAGACTGCCCAATAACGCAACACAATATCAACTTGTACTCTACTACATGTGGCTAGAGAGTTTAAGCTCATCTTTCCACAGCTCTTGTAACCCCAGCTTTCAATTGGGGGCCACTTCCTTGTTACCCCATATCAGAAAAACTAGGGGCCTTCTCCATGTTAACCCACATCCTACAGCCTATAACTAAGAGCCTTGCCCATGTACACATGACAAAGCTAGGGGCCTTCTCAAATGGAAAACACAACCCATAACTAGAATCATTCTGTATTACCATGAGACCCGCAAACTATAACTCTTCTTTATGTTACCCAATGTACAGCAACCACTTACAAGGAAGGGGCCTTGTCCATATTAGCCACTGTCCACCACAACCCTGAACTAGTGGTCTTCATTATGTCGCCCTATATCCCTCCACTTAGGGGTATTCTCCATGTTACCACATACACCCCATCCGATACATATGGCATTTCTCCATATTACCACACATCTCCAACATATGAATCCACGTTACCACAAGTCCACCAGCCAAGGGACTATCGACCTTCTCCATCCCAGGACTCCCGGTCTATACCAAGTTGCCCTCTCCCTGCCTATAAACTAGTGGCCTTCTCCCCGTAACTCCATGACTACTGGCCTTCTCCTGGTTACCCATCCTCTAAATAGGGGCATGCTCAATGTAACACAATGTCCCCCAAGCTATAACACATGACCCTTCTCCATGTTACCCCAGCCTATAAGTAGATGCCTTCTCCATGTTACCCCACCATTTAAGTAGATGCCTTCTCCATGTTACCCCACCATTTAAGTAGATGCCTTCTCCATGTTACCCCACCATTTAAGTAGATGCCTTCTCCATGTTACCCCACCATTTAAGTAGATGCCTTCTCCATGTTACCCCACCATTTAAGTAGATGCCTTCTCCATGTTACCCCACCCCTTCTCCATGCCTATAAATAGGGGCTTTCTCCATATTACCCCAGCCTACAAGTAGGGACCTTTGCTGTGTTACTTCATGTCCTGAGCCTCTAACTAGGGGCCTGTCTCCATATTATCCCCTTGCCCAGTATATAGCCTTCTCCATAGCAACTTTCCCAATAGTACACCATGTCCAGATAATATGGAGAAAAGCCTTTACTAGGCCCTTTCTTCATAGTAACCCCAGGCCTAGTCTATAACCAGGGGCTCTTCTCTATAGCACAACATGCCCAGTCTTTAACCAGGGACCTCTCTCTATAATGTGCCATGTCCCATCGCTCCCTCTATAATGCGCCATGCTCGCCTCCCTTTCCATATTACGCCACGCTCGCCTCCCTTTCCATATTACGCCATGTCCACTCCTTCCCTCCATATCACGCCATACACAGTCCCCCCTCTCTCTCCATATTACGCCTTGCCTAGTCCCTCCCTCTCTCTCTCTCTACACGCCGCCTTGCCCAGTCACCCCCGCCCCCACCACATTACTCCTTGCCCAGTTCTCCCCTCCATATATCGCACTGCCTGGCCTACCCCCTCCATATTATGCCTTGTCCACTCCTCCCCTCTATATCACGCTATACCCAGTCTTCCCCCCCTCTCTCCATATTAAAACCATGCCAGGTCCCTACTTTCTCTCTAAATATTACACCATGCCCAGTCTCTCTCTATTACACCAGTCTCTCTGTATTACAGTACGCGAAGCATCTCTATGTGCAGTATGCAGTTTATAGTATATAGTCACTACACACACACACACACACAGCATCAGTATTCACAGTCACTACACACACAGCGTCAGTATTCACAGTCACTACACTACAGTCAGTATACACAGTAACACTGTATATAGTCAGTCAGTATACGCGGTAACACTGTATACAGTCAGTCAGTCAGTATACGCGGTCACACTGTATATAGTCAGTCAGTATACGCGGTCACACTGTATATAGTCAGTCAGTATACGCGGTCACACTGTATATAGTCAGTCAGTATACGCGGTCACACTGTATACAGTCAGTCAGTATACGCGGTTACACTGTATATAGTCAGTCAGTATACGCGGTCACACTGTATACAGTCAGTCAGTATACGCGGTCACACTGTATACAGTCAGTCAGTATACGCGGTTACACTGTATATAGTCAGTCAGTATACGCGGTCACACTGTATACAGTCAGTCAGTATACGCGGTTACACTGTATACAGTCAGTCAGTATACGCGGTCACACTGTATACAGTCAGTCAGTATACGCGGTCACACTGTATACAGTCAGTCAGTATACGCGGTTACACTGTATATAGTCAGTCAGTATACGCGGTTACACTGTATATAGTCAGTCAGTATACGCGGTCACACTGTATATAGTCAGTCAGTATACGCGGTCACACTGTATATAGTCAGTCAGTATACGCGGTCACACTGTATATAGTCAGTCAATATACGCGGTTGTGGCGGAACCAGCCTCACCACTGGGCATTGGAGAAGACTGATTGCCAGCCTCCTGCCATTTGACTATGGCCCCTGGGATGTAATGCCTGCTCTCCTGTACTGCTGAGGATTGCTACCAACTAGGTGGATTTGGCTATGGAGCTTGTATAGTGCCCTCAGTTGGTAGCAACAGTAATATGCACTACCTGAATAGCAAGACTGGTAATTTGCATATTTGGGTCGATTTGCATATCGCTAATTCTGCATGCAGGAGAGACATTTTGTGTTAATTATGGTCTTCCCCACCCATTTATAAATATGTAATTATGTTATAATAAGTCACTGTATGTTGCCTACTATGATTTGACTGTTTGTAATTTTATTGAGTTTTCACAGCAATGTTAATGTAATGACCATATGGGCTAGTCCCAAATAAAAAAAGTTTTAGACAGTTCTACTTCACCCTCAATTTGGAGTGCTTTCTCTTATTGGGGGAATCTGCTACAAGGGATTGTTATGCTCTGCATACTCCCTTGCTATATTCATTGCTAATCTCTTTTAAGAGCTTGTTCCTGTCTTGCTCTCTGAAGGAGTCTATGGTGGTTATGGTGTTGGCTAGCGTGCTTTGAGCCCTCAGGAAGCGCTAGGAGCATCCTTCAAAAGAGTTACCCAGTCGGGGTACCCGTCGATCCGTTACAGCGGTCACACTGTATACAGTCAGTCGGTATACGCGGTCACACTGTATAGTCAGTCAGTCGGTATACGCGGTCACACTGTATACAGTCAGTCGGTATACGCGGTCACACTGTATAGTCAGTCAGTCGGTATACGCGGTCACACTGTATACAGTCAGTCAGTATACGCGGTCACACTGTATACAGTCAGTCAGTATACGCGGTCACACTGTATACAGTCAGTCAGTATACGCGGTCACACTGTAAACAGTCAGTCAGTATACGTGGTAACACTGTATAGTCAGTCAATCAACGCGGTAACACTGTATAGTCAGTCGGTATACGCGGTCACACTGTATACAGTCAGTCAGTCGGTATACGCGGTCACACTGTATAGTCAGTCAGTCGGTATACGCGGTCACACTGTATACAGTCAGTCGGTATACGCGGTCACACTGTATACAGTCAGTCGGTATACGCGGTCACACTGTATACAGTCAGTCAGTCAGTATACGCGGTCACACTGTATATAGTCAGTCAGTATATGCGGTCACTGTATATAGTCAGTCAGTATACGCGGTCACACTGTAAACAGTCAGTATACGTGGTAACACTGTATAGTCAGTCAGTCAGTCAACGCGGTAACACTGTATAGTCAGTCAGTCAACGCGGTAACACTGTAGTCAGTCAGTATGCGCGGTCACACTGTATATTGTCAGTCAGTATACGCGGTCACACTGTATATTGTCAGTCAGTATACGCGGTCACACTGTATACAGTCAGTCAGTATACGCGGTCACACTGTATACAGTCAGTCAGTATACGCGGTCACACTGTATACAGTCAGTCAGTATACGCGGTCACACTGTATACAGTCAGTCAGTATACGCGGTCACACTGTATACAGTCAGTCAGTATACGCGGTCACACTGTATACAGTCAGTCAGTATACGCGGTCACACTGTATACAGTCAGTCAGTATACGCGGTCACACTGTATACAGTCAGTCAGTATACGCGGTCACACTGTATACAGTCAGTCAGTATACGCGGTCACACTGTATACAGTCAGTCAGTATACGCGGTCACACTGTATACAGTCAGTCAGTATACGCGGTCACACTGTATACAGTCAGTCAGTATACGCGGTCACACTGTATACAGTCAGTCAGTATACGCGGTCACACTGTATACAGTCAGTCAGTATACGCGGTCACACTGTATACAGTCAGTCAGTATACGCGGTAACACTGTATATAGTCAGTCAGTATACGCGGTCACACTGTATATAGTCAGTCAGTATACGCGGTATATATTGAGTCCACCAGGCCCGGCCCCCCTCTCTCTCTCTGTGTGTCCCGGTGTCTGGGGCCCTGTCTCCCCCCCCCGGCTCACTCTCAGTACTCCCAGCCAGCCCCTCCCCCCCGGGGCTCACTCTCAGAACTCCCAGCCAGCCCCTCCCCCCGGGGCTCACTCTCAGAACTCCCAGCCAGCCCCTCACCCCGGGGCTCACTCTCAGTACTCCCAGCCAGCCCCTCACCCCCGGGGCTCACTCTCAGTACTCCCAGCCAGCCCCTCCCCCCCGGGGCTCACTCTCAGTACTCCCAGCCAGCCCCTCCCCCCCGGGGCTCACTCTCAGAACTCCCAGCCAGCCCCTCCCCCCGGGGCTCACTCTCAGAACTCCCAGCCAGCCCCTCACCCCGGGGCTCACTCTCAGTACTCCCAGCCAGCCCCTCACCCCCGGGGCTCACTCTCAGTACTCCCAGCCAGCCCCTCACCCCCGGGGCTCACTCTCAGTACTCCCAGCCAGCCCCTCCCCCCCGGGGCTCACTCTCAGAACTCCCAGCCAGCCCCTCCCCCCGGGGCTCACTCTCAGAACTCCCAGCCAGCCCCAGGGCCATTTACTCTCAGTGCAAGCCCCTCCCAGGGCTACTCTCAGTGCTCCCCAGCCAGCCCCTCACCCCAGACCCCACTCTCGTGCTCCAGCCCTCCCCCGGGGCCCCACTCTCAGTACTCCCAGCCAGCTTCTCACCCCGGCCCCCACTCTAGTACTCCAGCCCCACTCCCCAGGGCCCGATTCCCCACTCTCCCTCCGCCGGGCGGCAAATTCCCACTCACCAGCACCTCAGGCAGCGCCAGCAAGCAGGGCAGTCAGTCAGTGTGGGGATCCAGCCAAGGCAGGCAGCGGAGAGGGGGCGGCTATGGGATCCGAGTCCGGGCGGGAGGGGAGGGGGCGATGGGCCGCGCCGGCCGGGGGCTCCCCCCGCGATCCTCTCTCAGAGCCGGGAGAGCGGGGCGCTCGGCGGCAGCTTTAATCTCCCGCAGCCACACAGAGCCTCCATTGTCTTCCCCCCTCAGCAACGCCGCCACCTTCTTCTCCAACCGCCCTCCCCCTTTCCGGCTCCTGCAAGTGGTACCTTCCTCCTCCACGCCACGCCCCCTAGCTCGCGGGATAGCCACGCCCCTTCCTCTCTAACGCTCTTCACCGCGAGCCTTCTGCGCGTGGAGCCACGCCCACACAATTCCCAAATCCCCAACCGTACAGGCTTCCTGCGAAGGTAGCCACGCCCCAGTC